TTGATGGTTGGACACGATCCTAGAAGTCTTTTCTAACCGTAATGGTTCTGTGAGTCTATGATTCTTTATGTGTATTTTCAGATCTGTCTTAGGAACTCTCTGATCATATTGTCCAGGAGACAAGGATAAGTGATAAGATTGCTCTTCTGGCCCTATTTTTTTTTTTTTTCTGCAGTGTCATTGTAATTAAACCAAGAATGGTGATTTTTTTTTTTGCTGTTGTTTGAGGAGCTCTTCTTACACAACGTATTCTTGATGAATACAAAATGGAACATCTGATAGACAGCACACAAAGGCAATGCAATTATATTTTAGTAACTGATCCAGCCTGGATAAATTTTCATAGTGCATTAGTCACTACTGTGTGAATTAAGGTGGAGAGAAATAATGGATGTAGGCATAGAAACAATGACCGTAGACAGTGTGTTTGATTCCACGAATGACAGGGATATCCAGGAGCAGAACTGCCTGATTACATTCTCTGGCCACCTCCTGGGCATAATTCTTTTGTACAGTGAGTGGATCTGTTTTAGCTCCATGTTAAATATCCCAGAGGAGATATTTGGAAGATGCAACTGCAGTGGAACATTGTCTGTATTTTCCTTCTTCTCAGTTTAAATCCTACAGGACCTATTGTTTCCCTCACATATTTTACCAGTTCCTTTCCTTCCTAAAGGGAATTCTTCCTCTGAGTGTTTCTAAGCAAATTCTTCATATCATATATTTCAGTCAAGCTTTTCTCCTTGTTCTGTTGGTACATTGTCACTGAATTTAACTGGACCACATTGGTGTAATTGAGAGCAGAAAATTGGGTCCTTTCATCTTTCTGCACCAGTAATCTGTTTCCCCAATCAGATTGGTTTTTTTTTTTTTTTCACTGCTTGGAATTTCTTCAAATTTGTCAACATCTTCAGGGTAAGGAGGTTCTTCCAGTTCTAATACCACCTGAATTCTTTTTGAAGCACAGAACATGTTTCCACAGGCATGTTATTAATTATGGATATTTCCCTAATTCCACTTCTCTGAATATTATCCAACAGTTCACATCTGCCTATCCACATCTGGTGCAAATAAAAAAAGGTTTGGTGGTTTTCGTATCAAACATGTAATAATGACCATTTTGCTTTTGTTCTTATTTTTAAATCAAAGTTGGTAAATCCTTTTTATATAATCCCTTAAGCCTTATAATATTGTGCAGGATGAGGCAGTTTTTTATGCTTTACTTTGCTATATTTACTTTCTTGCTTCTGGACAAGTAGTGATTTGAGGTCTGAGACCTTTGTATCATTTCCCTTTTAAATATTTGCTCCATTTGGAGCTAACATAACCCATAACTAGAATCAACAAAGTTATACAAAACTTCTTCATAAGAGGGATGAACTGGAATACAAACCACTCGTGGGCTGCAGAGGCTGTGATGGTGTTTTGTGCCTTCCATTTGAGGAGCTCAATGCAAATGATTCCTTGTGAGCAATGGGAACATTAACAGGCATGGTAGGGGCTAATGGTCAAATTACTTTTTAAGGAGTGTAATTTTCCCTGTTCCTCCTTGCAGCCAACACACAGAAACGTGTATGTGCACAGAGGTCTCTGAAGTGCTGGTTGTGCCAATCCCGTAATTGCATTTGCACATACAAGTTGGGAGATTTGAGGTAACTATTATAGTCCTGGCTCAGCTTCCCAGCAAAGTATTCCTCTTCTCAGACTGTGGTTTCCTAACACAGGTGGGAACAACCCTGGCTCCCTTTCCCCCATTTAGTTGCTCACCTCAGTTGCTGCCAAAGCATGTTACGGAAATCAATTTTGTTCTTTTTTTTTTTGTGTGCATTAACCATTTGCTGGAGAGGGGAAAATTTCTGTAACGGCTTCTTTCTGTAGAGGAGAAAGGACAACAGCAGCTCATCTGAATGATCTTGCCATACTCCCAGCTGTGTGTTTGAGGCAAAATGTTTTATTTGGGCATGTGCAATGAAATGAGAAGGATGTTTTCAAGAAAAATCTGAATATGATCTGTATAATACAGAATGATAAATTATAAAAACATTTTTAGATATCAACCCTGATTATGGTCCTATCAGTGTCAAAAGAGTGAGGAGGGCTGTTGATGTGACCTAAATTTTGCCCTGTGAATACCTCTGCAATGTGTAAGAGGCTTTGCTTTGGAGAGGGCAAGTGTAACTCAGTGTAATTGAAGCCTGACTCTGTCAAGGTTTAACAGCCTGTGCTGGTCCAGGACTGAGCTCAGCAGCAGCAATGCTGGACCCGAGGGGCCGTCAAAGGCAGCTGAAAACAAGCCCACAGTAGGTTATGAAACAGCTCCCACGGCTCCCATCCAATTGCTCCTTTGGTTAATGGCACAGGAGTCTGAAAAGAATCAGTTTAATATATCTGAACTAGCTCACTCTGAAACACTTCCAATCCTTACTGGATTAGTAACATGCTCCCGATGTTACACACAGTGTTTTACCAGCAGTGCTTGTTTTGTCATCCAGAGAAGCAAAAACATGCTACAAATGCACGTGCACACAACTTGTGATGCTTAAAGAAATGGATTGTGGATTAATTAATTGACTGTATTAGAATCACCTTGGTTTGTTTTAGTTTTTAAACCCTAACAATAATTTAGGGACTGATAATGAGACTTATATAATGGGGGTTTTATAGCTAAAACAGTTTATATGCCCATGGCACAAGAGTCCGTTTTGACTACTTTGGAAAGCACTCACAAATTTGTCAAGTGAGTTCATCTCTTGTTTAACTGGCTCTTGTAGCTCCTCTAAACTCAAGCATGACATAAATACAGGACATATTTAGGCAATTGTCGTGAGTAGCCAGTAGGTACTTTGACTGTGAGAAAGAAAACCACTTTTTTATATTTAAGTATTTAAGAGGATGGCTTATAACCAAACTGTGGTAACATTACAGCTCCCTGGAAGACACAGTTATGTACTTCTACGTGACACTCATCCAGTTCCACCAGGCCACACTAAATGAGCTGTTAAAAGCTCAGAGTATTGTAAAGTCAAAAAAAAAAAAAATACTATTGACCTTTTCATCCATGTGACTCTCATGGAATGCTGATGGTAAATGAAAAATACAGGCCAGAAGTCTTAATCTGTGGCCATAATTCCACACAAATCCTTGAGGTAAAATTAATGGTTTAACAAAGCTACTTAATTACATGAAAATTATTATAATATAAACACTGGTGAATGGGAACAAATTTGGTTGTGCAAATAAAACCTAGGCAGCACACAAACCCAGATATCTCTGTGTTTAGTATCACCCCCTGTGTGTGTCAGGAGTGCTTCTACAGAAGCACTAAATATTTTAGGCATTGTGTTTTGGGGAAGCTGTGGACAAACAAGATTTCATGAATAAAAAATGGGGCTGGAAAGAAAGTCTGTTCCATCCCAAAATGAAATGATACTGTATTGGGTTTGCATGGTAAGGTTTTGGTAATGGGGTGAGGCTGCAGGGGTGGCTTCTGTGAGAAGCTGCTGGAAGTTTCCCCTAAGGAGCAAATTCCAGTGGCTCCAAGACAGACTTGTATTCAAGGTATATCTTCATGTTTGTTGATGATCTCTGGGCTTCCTCTGGTTGGTTTGCACCCCTGAGTTGGGGTTTGCCAGGCAGATCAGTGAAGTATCAGTAATTAATAAGATCTAATATAAAAGTCTGAAACAATAAGAATTAACGGGTTCACAAATCAAATGGCAAAATTTGAAACATCCACTTATTTGCAGCCTGTGATCAACACTCCTTAATAATTTTCTTCCTTCGCTAGAAGGAGGAAAAAGATGAGATGCATTCATGTGCAAAGGAATTTCAGATTTGCTTATAGCAAAGCAAGGATCCTTCAGAACTGCTGCTGGATAAAGCAGCACAGCTTTTTCCCTCTGTGCCTGGTGCCCTCATGTGGTTTTGATGTTCAGCTACTTGCGAGTGAATTCACTGCGTGGCTGAGACTTCTGCTGTGTAGAAGGTAGGGAACAGTTTGCCTGTTTGTCCTGGCGTGTTCTGGGAATACAGAGCCTTCTGGAAAGCTGGAATACGCTGTGGTCAGTTGGATTTGGATGTGCAAACTCCCTGAATTCCCTAACTTAAACCAAGACCGTTTCTCACAGTGCACATGACTCAGACCTGACTCCTCCAGGGGTTGTTGTGGCTCAGAGTCTTTGTGCTGCAGTCACTGCCTTCTTCAGTAATCCTGTTAAAATGCCCCCATAGATCTACTGGTTCTTCTAAAAAACTAATGTAAGGTCAAATTTTCATACAGTATAGTGAGCTAAAATTTCAAGGATTACTTATGTCAGGAAATGTAGTTTAAAATTTGCTTTCTCAGCTGACTTGTCCCGTTTTTCTTCCAGCTACAGCTTCAGTATGACAAAGAAATTTCTATATTTCATGCTGTAAAATATATGCAGTGTAAATGTTTCTTTGCACAGCATTTGTGAGTCTAAATTTCTAATTGCTATATTTCTAAATTACTGCTCTAGAAATTCCACTTTTAAACACAGTATTTAGCCACAAATATTATGCAAAAAAAACTTTATACAACAGATTCATTATATGTCCATATAATAATTAGCTCTTGCACAAGCAAGAGGTGAATATAGTTGCTGTGGAGGCTGCTGGTGAAAACCAAAGATTTCTTGCCATCCATAGTACTATTAACAATGATACACAAGGAGTTTGAAGATGAAGGTGGAATATATCTGAAGCAGTTGAATGTTTTGGCATCTTTTTGCACATATACATTCATTTTTCTCAGCCAATACATTCTAGATTTCTTTGTGATGATGATTTGTATAAGCTTTTACCTGTGCATGACTAAAGTAAAAGCAACTCCAAATATCTTATGTAGGTTAATGCATTAAACCCTGTGTGTGTGTCACAATACAGGAACAGTAGAAGTTTAAGTGTAGAATTTGGCTGTAATGTAGAAGTGGAATGGTTTTAGTGTTTATCGGCTTAATGAAGCAAGTGAATACACCTGGTCAAGTTGAAATATCTAATTATTTATTCACATGGAAACCAGTAAATTTTAGGGTTTGTAGCACAAAACTTTTTGTTAAAAAAAGAAAACCAGCTATGCCATATAGCTTCTTTACCCTCAATAAAAGAGCAGTTAAAGTTACAATAAAAACAAAACATTCCAGATGACATCGTTTGGAGCACAATGTGACAAATACAATGAGAAAATCCTTGTCAGAAATTTTACCACAAGGAAATATCAATAGCTAACACCCATATTCTCCACCTAGAAATCAAGAATATTTGAGTAGATCTTGGCATAAAAGGCACGAAACACAAAGCAAAGCATGCTTGTGTCATTTCTCACACAGAAGCATTGACATTTGTGCAACATGGAAAAAGGTCAGCATTTTTCCACACTCTTCCAATATCACAGATACTTAGGGAGCAGATCTTCCCCTTAATGCCAGTGTGTCACTCCCAGTGCAGATGGCAGTGACTACAAGAAAAGAGGAGTGTATGGAAGAGGACACATCTATAGCCTTCCAGGAAATCCCAGCTCGTACACGGAGGAAGCTGCTGCTGTTGTATTGTTAAAAGTAACCAAATACACTGCAGGCTTTGAGTAACACACCCACTGGCAGCCAGCACTTGTGGGAAATCTGTGAGGGTGACAAGAACATAACAATGCTGGAAACCCGTCAGAAACACAGGTTTACCTCTTGCATTTAAATGTGTGATGCCTCAAATAAGCTTCTTTAAAAAAAGTTCTAGTCCTTGAAAGAAAGGGCTTTTCCAAAGAGAATTCTGCCTCTTGCACAGAGGAATGGCTTTGCTGATGTTTAGGTGTTTCAGAAATATGGATCAGACATCCCTGGCATTTCCTCCTGTCCCTGTGTGAGCAGCCTGTCTGCTATATCTCTATAACCAGCCTGTCCTCATCATCACTGCTCGTGTCATCGTACTCCACTCGCGTTTGCTTCCTCATCATCTCTAAACCTCTCTTTTTGTATGTCTTGGAAAGTGCTGCAGAGTAACTCTTGAACTCAGGGGATCTGAGAGAAATTGGGGGCTTTTTAAAGGTAGTAGTAGCTGTTCCATGTGGCCTTCCATAGGGATTGGGCTGCAGGTGGGATCCGTTCCTGTCTCTGCTTCCGTGGAGGTCCAGGAGATTTTGAGACACGTTTGCCCTCTCTGTGTATTCTCTGCTGGGTAACTGAGCCCTTGTGACTGATTCAGGAAGAGACTCTGCTTTTGATCCAAATAAATGTGAACATCCAGGCTGGGAACTGGGAGTTGGGTGTTCTTTGGGAGGTGAATTTGTGTCTTCTTCAGCTGGAGTTTTCTCCCTTCCCGAGGCCCGGATCACCGGGTCTAATGTACCAGATATTTGCTTCTCTGACTCTGCACTCAGTGTGTTTTCCTGGCTTGTCTCCAGATGTAAGGAAAGAGGACCAGGAGCCTCTGGGTCTGTGCTGCTGGGTTGGTCACCTGTGCCTGTGTTTGTAAAATCAGAAGGGCGAGACCCAAAGGAAGCTGCCGTTGAGTCACTCCGGAGGCTTGGCCGGGAATGCCCTGGCCCGGATGGCTGGAGCACGAGGGGCTGTGTCACCCAGCAGCAAATGGCCACATCCCTGCTGACCTGCTGCATGGATGTGGGAGCTGGGGAGGGAAAGGAATGAGCTGTCACAGCTATTCCCAGGGGAGCCGTGATGTTCTGGACACAGACGTTTGTTCCCGTGTGTTCCCTGATTTGCCCAGAAATGTCCTGTAGAAATTAGGAGGGGGGAAAAAATTGAGGTTTAAAATTTTCAATCCAGAGCAATTGATGCAAGTTTAGTTGTTCTTTTTAAAAAGCTAACATTAGTAAGTTTTCATTGTATTTTAACCCCCAGTAATACCTTTAACATATTTTTAAACATTTTAAACAAAACCTGTGCTACAAAGTAGTCTCAACTTGAACTTTAAACCAGCTGAATATAATTCACGTTTTAATTACCGATTTTTTTTTATTTTAGTAGATATTAATACAGGAATTAAGGTACAATACATACTTTTTTATCCGTTTTGTCTCTTTGTTTAACATGGTTTAGGTTTTCAGTATGGGAAGATATTCCTGAGTTATTCTTTCCTTCTTTTTTCCTTCTGCAAAGTGGTTTATCTGAGGTGGAATTTTGCTGGTGTAGGTAACTCTCTATTGAAAAGAGGTTGAAGAAACTTTTACTTTGATTTTTATTGCCCCACATGCTAGAACTTACTACATTTCTCATCGTAGCACTGAAGTAACATCAGTTTTTTTAAAAAAATATTCAAGATACTTACCTTGCACCTTCAGCTGAGGAGAATGGCACTTCTTATGCTTATTGAATTTGGGGGGCTGTGATGAACAGCCCTTTCTCAAAGCATCCAGTGCTCTGTTGGGAAAACAGGGCCTCTTGCTCAGCCGGTTCACTTTCAACTGGGAATATCCATGGATATGCCTCCCTCTGTACCTGCAGTGCCAGAGGCATTGAAAGGGTAAACAAATATGGGAGATGTAAAACTTGCCAGAGTAATAACACCACCTCGTCACAGACACTAAAGTCTAACAGCAGTTTACCACTGTGAAAGAGATGTTTATGCCAACTCAAAAAAAAAATAATCAGGATTTTAGGGAAGAGACCCACAATTATTTTATTACTTTTTTTTTCCCCCTCTGTTGGTTTTCTAAGAGAAAAGGATTAAGAAATAACAGATCCTTTTTCCTGTATCTGGAATTTTAAAACAATATACTTCATAAAGGCTCGAATCATACGGGAGTCACCTGACGCTGTGTGGTTGTTGGCTTTTTTACTTTTCACTTCTTATGTGCCACCTATTCATCATCACTAAAGAACAGCATAAGTGTTTCAGTTATTTAGAAAACTCACACTGAATATTCCAGCTCTGCCTTGTTTTCTACTCTGGATAGATCTTTCAGTAACTCTGAGTGACTAAATCAGTAGAATGTCACCACACACAGAGCAAGATGTAAACCTAAAAGGACGTGGTAATTCTGGTATTTGGTGTATTAGAAAATTACACTGAATTTCTTGGTTACCAATTGGGCCAGTTAGCTACTAGTATGCATGATCTGAGCTTTCAGGATGCTGTACTTACCTGAATCCCTGTAATTATTTGATAGAGCCAAATAAATAAATTCTGAGGTCAGCAGGAAAAAAGAAAAAAAAATACCAAACACCACCCAAAAAACAAATCAGAAAAAAGTCCTAGAGGAGTATGACTAGGCTGCATGACATAGCCCTGAGTCTTCTATTTTTGTTCTCATGCTCCTCAGTGCTGCTTGCTGAACTAGACACGGTGATTAAGTTACTGACACTGATTTGTCCTCAAGGGAGTCACTCTGTCTGATTTTGGTCGTGAAATGGAATCAGAGGGATGTATGCACACAATATGTGTTTCTTATTGAAGCAATTCATCAGACATTCTGCTGCCCCACGCTCCTGAAAGATTAGAGGCTAAATCCACTGGCCTGAGCTCCCATTAGATACAGGGGAGCTTTGCTGATTGAGACAATGTGCCTTTGACAGTTTTATGCTCAAATTCTTCCTGCTTTTCATTTAAACCAAATGATCCTTTGAACTACAGATGGTTTTGTTAGTTTGTGTTAAACTTGATATTTATTCTTCTGCATTCTCCTGTGAATAGCAGTTCAGGAGCACTTTGTGCTCTGCTCTGAGCTGTAACCGGATTAAAAACGAAAGGATTTTGGTTCCCTTCGAGCAAAAGTAAATGCTGGCAAGTTTGACAGATAAGAATAATTTCTAAAGCATAGTGAGACTCCACTGACCAATCATCCTCTTTCTTTGGGATATGTCTGTTTGACTTAGAAAAGTCTGTTCCTGGTAATAAACAACATATTGGTATTTTTATGGTTTACCTTTGGGGAACTGCTGCGGTGTGAGAATAGCTCTTTTTGAGAGATTTATTTTTTTCCCCCCAATTTTAACGTGGTTGAATTTTGGGGATGCCTTTTTATTTTCTGTGGACTTTTTACACCCATTTCAGCAAAATCATGTCTATATCTAGCGAAGCTGCAAACCATATTTCTTACCATTTGGGGGTGACTTTAATCTTTTTCTGTTTGTGGCTCCTCTTGAGTTTATTTGTTGAGGGTTTTTCCTTTCTGCAAACTACAGTTTTCTTCTTTTGTTCTGAAATATTTTTGAAAGCACCACCAGGAGCTACTGAGCTTAACTGTTGAGAATATTGGGAAAAAATTAAGCAAATGAAAACTGTGAGTTACATTGACCAAGAGATTGGAAATCTGTGCTCTTTTTAAATAGCAGTGAACAACATAGTAGTTTAGTAGCACAACTCTGAATTTTTCCCATTTTTTTCTGATAATTATATAAAATATACCCAAAAGGAAAAATAACAGTTCATTCTTCTCACTAGCCAGCATTCTTACCAAAATGGTCAAGTGAAAGAAACTTAAATATTCACACAAAAGTATACCTTTCTCATGCATCAAATGAATATAAGATTTATCTTATAAAAATGTAAATTGTAAATTCTGTATCAACAAAATCCTGTAAATGACCATAAATACACTTCTGATAATTATTTCATTTTTCTAATAAGAGGGTGAGGATGGGCTGTCAGCCAATAACACCCTCTTGAGAAGGCAAATAGGATTATTAATATTACCTCCTGCATCTGTTGTCCTTTAGAAAAAGATGAAACCAGCGTTTTTAAACTTGTGTTTGTTAAGCCATATGCCACAGTCTTGTTAATATTTTTCATTTTGAAGATAGAGATGTCGTATTTGGACAGGCTGCATTCCCTGCTGGATCCCCTGTCACAGGAGTGCAGGGAGGAGTAGGCAGAGTCTGCATTCCCCTTCTGCTCCGTGGGCAGGGGGAGGCTCCTGCTTAAGCAGCACCAGGTTAGTCGGGGCTCAGCACTGAGGGAGGGGAAGGTGCCCTTTGTGCCTGACACTGTTAAACTGCCAGAGGAGCAGGTCCTGTTATTGTGGGGGAGCACTGGGAATTCTTTACAGTGAGCGGTGAGAGTGTGGCAATAAAAAGTGCCAAAAGAATGGCAAAGATAAGTGGGGCTGTCTGTCGAGCTCTGAGGATGCTGCAGCGTGTCCTGCACTGTTGGTGAAGCATCCTTGAGGGTGCACAGACTTCTCCCTCTGTCCCATCCCACGACTGTTGGCTCTGCTCCCTTGCTAGAAGCTGATGTCTTTATCAAAGAGTCACTTCCTGAGCAAAGATGCTGTAAAACCTTTCTCTCATCTTTGATGTCAGCTGATATGAAAAAGCCACTTGTATACACAGAAGTAAAGCATATTTTCTTCTTTGGAGTCTGTGTAGAGCAAGTAGTTATGCTCATCCACTTCTCTTCTGTTTGCCTTTGATAATTCAATTTTTTTTTCTTCTGCTTGTTTTTCCAATCATCTCTCGCCATATCCTGCTGCCTGAAGTTTGGGTTATAAAAGGTGTTATCTACTGTGGTTAAGATATTTGTTGTTTCTGAGGTGACTGGTGAACAAAATCCTGGAGTTTTCCAGTTTGTGTGTATGTTCCATCGAAGCTCTCCTGTGCCAGCCTTCTGTCTCACTTCAAATTGTAAAGGGGACCAAACCACATCACTGGGATGAGAATGGAGGGATCCACTGCTGGAAGAGCAGGAAGGGGTGGTTAGGGTGTTTGTCTCAGATGTGCAAGGTGTAACCTGTTCAGATCTAGGCAAAAGTGACAAATTTGAGGCTCTCTTGGCCTGTGGCAATTTAAGGATATATTTTGGAGAAAAGGCATTTTGTTGTGGGGCTGGAGTTGAATGACCAGATTGCAGATGATGAATTTTAGAAGATACATCCACAACATTGTCATTGAAAAGTGGTACTTTTGCTTCTATTTTCACAAGACATGTTTTGTCGTCTTTATGTGTTGCATTGTGCAAGGCAAAAGAGTTGCAATCACTTCCCCTTAATTCAGGCCCTAAAAATCCCACCAGTGAAGCTTTTGAGATACCAGTTGAATTTGAAAGGAGGTCAACATCACTGTAATTGAGGGCTTTTGTGGGGAGTTTGATTGTTTTCCTATATTCCACATTCTCAGTACCTCCAGTGGATTCATTAATTCCTGTGCCCAATTTTTGCTCTTGTGCTTTACTGGAGAATGTCACTGGAGCTGTGGAAAGACAGGGAGTGCCAGAGCAATGGGCTCTCTCTGCTTCACTTACTGCACTACTTTCGCTACCAGGACTAGGGCAGGACATTGAAATCATATTTTGTGTTGTCTTCTCCACTTCAAATTTCAGCTTTTTTCTTTCTGATGGTAAATTCTGGGATTTCCCTGCAGTCTCTCTGCTGTTGCAATGGACCCACAGGCCTTGTTGGCCAGTCTCCTTAGTCCTGCGATGGCCTCCATAATTGTCTGGGGTGCTTTTAGAATCTAATTCAAATGCACTGGATTCTTTCCCAGGGCTTGGGTTTTCCCACTTGCTACTCTGTACTGGCAAGGAGTCATCATTTCTTCTGTGACAGCTGGGCTGCCACTCAAGATTTTGAAACCTGAGCTCACAACTGCTTGGAGCTCGCCCTGTGCTGCTGAGAGCTGTGCACTTCTCTCTGTCCCTGCCACTGGGGTCTTGGGAAGTTTTGCTCCTTACAGTCCATGCACAGGCATTTGTGGAATGCGATGTCTCCATTAGGTAGGACACACTGTCTGCAGTTTCCTCAGAGGACACATTCTGCAGAACATGATTACCATCAGTACAGGTTCCTGATTTACCCGTGTTTGAAGCTGCTGTCACAAGGGAGGAATGACTGTCACTTACAGAGCTCCTGCCATCTCTTTCCTCAATAATTTCAGTGCTGCTGGCTGATTCCTTTGAGTCAGGAGTGAAGCTTGTAATACCTGTAATCTTATCCCCCCTTTGTTTCATTTTCTTGGCGTTTTGACTGCTTTTCATTTTTTGGTAGATTTTCTTAAATGTTTCATCTCCATACATTTGCCATTTTTCTTGAGAGAACATCTTTAACTTCCTTTGATTGTGTTTCTTATTTTTAGCACTGATTACTTCTCCAGCCCCAAGCTTTTTACTGCCTTGCAACTCCTCTGAAGGAGGAGGATGATCAACCACATTACTTAGCGGCAAATCATCCACGGCTGTTTGTCTGACTAGAGCTCGGGGATGGCTATTAGGGAAATCCACTGAATTTGCAGCAAGATTGTTGCTAGGCAGCAAACCAGCAGTGCCTGTGTTTACAGACTGCTTAGTAAGAGAAAGTGGTTTTGAGCAACCTGGTTTGTCCTGTGCCATCCTTGCTCCCTCCACGAACGGCAAGGAGTTGCTCCGAGTAACAGGCACAGTGTCAATGGTCGTGGAGAACTGGGTGGGAACTGAATGGAAAAACATTGGCTTGCATTTCTCCAGGGGTGCAAAGGTAGACTTTGCTGAACAAAGGGCAAGATTCTTTTTCCTATTTACATCACAAGTTCTGATATCAAAATGGAAAGAGTCTTTGTATGTGTAAGGCATTGGCAGGTCAATGCTTCCCTGTTTGGAAAGGACAGTTTTCCTGGGCCTGACATTGTCTAACTGGGTATCATCCACCACACTTTTGTTATGAGAAATAAGTTTTGAAATGTGTTCTTCCAGCCTCTTTTTCTCTAGCATGGAGACTGCAGCTTTCTCGGCTGCCTCTGGCTTTGCACTGCTTCCGGAGGCACACCTGGGGCTGCTGAAGGCAGTTTCGCTTTCCAGCTCCGTGCTGTGCTCACAGAGGCTGTGCAAGGGGCTGGGTGATGCCATCTGTTGTTCTGTGCTGTCAGAGCGGGACAGATACCCCGAGTCAGTGCTCTCACACTTCTTCAGCTTGCAGTCCAATGGCTTGTAATCCCACTGCTTCTCCGAAGAGGTTGCTTGCTGCCTTTGCAGCTGAATATGCTTGTTGGCAGTTGGAGTTCTTTGTTCCTGCATCTTCTTCCTCTGACACGGACCATTTGGCAAAGCTCCTGGAGATGATAAACTGCGAGGCTCTCTTTCAGGAACCCCTTGATTAGCCTTTGAACTGAAGGATTGATTCGTTCTTTCTTGATTTTCTGAAAAAACTGGTGAAGTGCTTGTTGCTGGCAGTGAAAGCTCGTGAAGTTTTTTAGTGTCTGGTCCAGCACTGGTCTCTGAACTTGGTTGTTTCATCTGTATCCCCTTGTCCTCACCGGTGCTGCTCAGTGGTTCGCTGCCTTGGGCTGAGGTTGTGCTCTCTGCTGATCTCCCGTTTTGCTCTGATGCCCCACTGGTGTCAGAGTCTGAGGGCAGTCTGGTGTTGTTGACGTGTGTTTGAGTTCTCCTGTGTTTATACAAGTTGCTCTGAGTTTTAAATGCAATGCCACAGGTGGTGCACGGAAAGGGCCTCTCTCCTGTGTGGGAGCGAATGTGCTTCTCAAGGACACTTGGCTTCAGACAATCTCGTCCACAGTGTTTGCAGATATATTTCCCAGCTTTTTTGGATTTTCCTGGGCTTCCAGTAGATGCATTTACACAAGAACTCGGTGATGATAAAACTGGTAAAGTGCTGACTATGCTCAATGTTAGACTTTGCCCAAGTTGTTTCTGAAAAACTGACTGAGGCCGATCTGGGCTTTCCGGAGGGACGAGTGGGTTGAGGATGAGGGGAATGTTGGTGCTGTCGAGATGGACACAGCTCCTGGCGGTCACTAACTGCCCGTGTGGCTGGAAGCATCCTGCCTGGACAGGCTGGTACAGCGGGATGGTGAGGGCTTTGAGGTACACGGGCTGGGACAGCGCCGGTTCCCGGGGAAGCCCAGTGCCCTGGCCGGGATCTGAGGAGCCCTGCGAGGGCTGCAGAGAGGAGGCTGGAACGGGGCGATCTGGGGGTGCAGCTGTGAAACCAGGTGCCTTCTGTGCCTTCTGTGCCTCCATGCCAAGGGCTCTCTGCCACGTGCTCAGGTACCTGCGAGGAGGGGAAACAGAGCAAGTAGGAATCTTCAGGCAGCAAATAAAATACAAACATTCAACTGCTGGACTAGGAAAGTCAGCGGTTAAGAATATCACAAATCTTACACACAAGCATTATACAGACAACAATTACTTCATTTTCCAATTAAATTGATTCATTTTTCATTTCTTATCTAGGAATTAAAGTGTAAAGAACATTTAACACTGCATTTAAAACCACTCTTACGATCTGTGATAGATACCCAAAGCATTAGAAATAAACCTGAGTTTCAGATTTGCAAATGGAGGCTCTCAGCACACCAGAAATAATACAGTTTTAATTTTCTGGAACCATATTCTCATTATATATGTGTATCATGGTTTTATATTTAATTAACATTAATAATTGTTAATATAGAAACACAGGACAATGGAGGTTAGAGGGGACCTCAGGAGGTCTCTAGTCCAAAGACCTGCTCAGAGCAGAGTCAGCACTGAGGTCAGATGAGGTTGTCAGGGTGTTACCCTGTCTGGTTTTGAGATCCTCTGAGGATAAAAACTGCACAGGTTCTTTGGGCAACTGTTCCAAACACAGGACAGTAAACATGGCTTCATATTAATCTTTGTTTACCCAAATTTAAGGGGGCTAAAGCCAAACATATTCCAGCAAATGGTGTAAAATGGAAATATGTGAACAAAAGTAAACTGATGTCCTGTTTTACAAGTGAGATTTACATAAATATGTGCAAAGTAGAAAAGATGGTATCATAGGAAAATAGTGGGATAAATTAAAGCTGGCTTTTGTGTAGCCCTAATTCATTTTATCTAATAAATGGAGATATTATGATATGCTGCTTATTTTTAGATGCTTTTAATGCCAGATGAAAACATCTTCTAGACACAGTTTTTGAAAAAAGTGAGCCTATTCTTATGAAATCTGTCCAAATATGTGCAGGGTTGGTGCTGGTCCAGACTAGTTCTTATTTCAACAAAAATTTGTATTGTCTTTTTTCTTTCATTAGCAACAAAGGAGTAAACTATCAAAATAATCAAGTTGAAAATTATCTTTGGAGGAGCTAATAGGGGTATGAGCATAACCCCTTGTAATTACAGTCAGGGTGAAAATCAGGTGATCTGTGAATGTTCATTTCTTACTCAGCTTTACTCACAGCTCTGTATCAGTTTACTGCTATGAATAATGGGCTGTTCTTGTGCAAATAGTCATAAAAAAAACCCATTTGGAATAACATAATTGGTGGCTAAATTTGAAATCTGCAATTTGTTGCTTTACTGCACAAGCTGTAGTGGCGTTTCTGTAACTTCCTAGGATCATTTTAATAGGTAATCATTGCTGAGAAACAGTAAAAGGATTACTTAAAAACACTGTTTGAAATTTGTACTGGTTCCATCCCAGAAAGCAACCTGTAAAATGAACTGATGTGTGCACAGCATTGTTAGATTTTTCCCTTTCTCCTTTCCCATGAATGTTATAAACCAAGTTCACTTATCACACAGGGACTTTTCTTGTCCACTTTCAGAGATTTCTACATGGAATAATCACTTAAGTGGCTTTTTGCTATAGGTAATGATTATATTGATGGAAGAATGTTAAAAGAATATGGCTTGTTAAAGAAATTAAGTTATTATCCATATTGTGTAGTGTGGTGAACTCTACAGGAAAAAAGTGGATTTCTCTGATTTGCAAAGTGATGTTATCAACATTTCAAGTCCATTTAAGATTGTTCTTAAGTTATACAGGCAATTTTAAATTTTAACACAGCATACAATGAAAACAGGAGCAAATGATAAGACATGAGCCCGTGATACTCACAAACTAAGCATGCAGTAGTTTTTCCAAAGATGTGGGGGAAAAAGAAGTTGAGGGAAAAAATTACACTGCAGAGTCCAGACTCCAAGAAGTGAAGCCTAAATACCCTGCAGCCAGAACATCCAAGTACCACACCAGATGAAACAAGTCACAGTGGTTGTGCTCCCCTCCTTCCCCTGGAGAGAAGTGTGGAAATACATTTCCACATATTTTACATTTCCTCCCAGTCAGCTCCAGTGCCACAAACTACTTCTCTCCTTGAATATCCCCATGGGCACACAGAGCTGATGGGCCCTTCAAGGCCAGCCTGAGTCAGCAGGATTCACCATGGCCAGATGTTTTTCATATGAATCCTGTGGTTCCCAAATACCAGAGACTCTCTGTAATTTCACTTATTAAGTTTCTGGGGCCCAAAATTCAGTGTAATTCTGAGAATCATTTCAGTGCTCTGCAATGGTCCACAAAGAAAATACCTAAGTGGTGGCAGAAAATTTAAAGGAAAGTTTTAAACAATGCTAAACAAGTAAAGTAATGGTGACACACAAGGTCATTACTGTTAAGAATGTAATAACACATTTCTACCAGCTGTGGTAGTTTCCTGCTTTTCACAGCAAACAAACAGACTTTCTTCCTAAGTGAAACTGCCCTGGCTTGTATTCTACTGGGGCAAATACGATCAGACTTTTCACATCTGTTGTTTATATACCAAAAAAAAGCCACTGTATTTCTCTGTACATTGACAAAAATAGCTCATCTCAAACTAATTCTGCCCCAAGGCTGATGCTGGGTAGTCCTTGCCTAAAGTAGAAAAACTTCCTTTGTTGATTATCCCCTGAGCTCTGTTACTGAGCATCCACCTCGTGTTCCCAGCTGTTTGCAGCTTGTGGCATTGAACTACCAGCATAAGAACTTGATCTTAACTAGATAAGGAAAAATAAACAGAACTAAATGCAGGATTTGGCCAATCCAAAATTATCTAAATTGATTTCCTAAGCTATCAAAACTGGTCACTAAAATTCCATTTAAATACAATTATTTTGTTCCTCGTTTGAATTCTAGCTTCAGGTACACAGCATAGATAGTCCTGTGGAACACTGAAAAGTCAAGAAGTGGAAGAGTTTCAGATAAAAAATCATTGTATCAGAAAATGTCTTACTCACTTTATAAGTATAAAGTATTTTAATAGGAAAGGGTGGTATAAAAAACTCATTTTAAATCCAGTGTGTTCCTTTTTTATAGAATCTTTCTTGAGTTCCAAATACATTTTATAAAACTTGTTTAATTTTGTCAGCACTGTTATAATAATCTTGGACTACACAAGTGAAAGATTTTTGTCACATGTAAGTGCTCTGTCAGCTGCCCTTCATTATTAATTAAATCAATAAATAAACATGTAACTACTTATTTCCAGCACTTCCATATAATTTTTTTTGACACAACATTGAGAAGAGCATCAGTCCCTAAGCAGATGCAAAGCTCAGTTGCTCAGTCCCCACCTTGGTCCACAGGTATAACCTGGAGACATGACAGAGGTTATTTTTGTAACCCCACAGAAGCAGGTTTTCAACATTCTGAACATACACAATATACTCAGTTATACTACAAGGTTTTGCCTTTCTAAAAAGCTTTAGGTGATCCTTACCTTAAATAAACCAGAGAGCAAACAGAAGTGGAATCCTCTTTAGTCTGGAAATAATTTTAGCTCACGTACCTTTGACTGAGCCAGGCATGTCAGCAAAAAAGCCTCATTTCTGTCAATACTTGATGCAAGCAGAGAGAAACGAGGACAAAGACTTGAAACAGATTAGAAGTAGGAAGTTGGGTGGTTTTCTTTTTTTTTTCTACACTGGTGTCACAGTGACAACCTTCAGAAAACAGGAAGAGCTGAAACAGGAGAAAATGAAGTGACATTTCAATCTCTCCATATCCTTTATCACTCTCTATGTAGGAACCTCTACACAGAATCTTCACAAAATGGGGATTTTGTGCACTGCATTCAGTTGTACCATTCCATGAAATACACTGACACAATGGTAGGCTTTTTTCTTTATACCCCTAAAGGTGATTTGCTTGTAAGGAGGTGGGAAAGTGCCTCAGGAATGTTAGAAGTGTTTAGCTCATGCTCAACAAACCTCCCTAAATTTGTGGAAACTGCAGGGAAAACAGGATAGGGGACAGTCAACAGCAGTGAAAAGATCATTTTAAAAGATTAGATTTTGTTTGTGGGTTGAGTTCATGAAGAGTCCTCAGGTAACACAGTTCAGCAGCACTGAGGGGTCCTGGGAAGGGGCAGCTCTTCTTCATCCAAACACTCATTTAAATTATGGACTGGGATGGCTGCGCCCTCCACTGCTGTGAGACTGAGTGAATCCCAAAGTGGAATATAAATTCTCAATAATGTTACCAAATTGGTATATCCAGCCTGTAAAATTTCCTTAAGAACATCATATTTTGGAAGACGCAGCTTTTAATCTTCCTGCAATGAGCATCTGCCCAGTTCAGACACTGCAGCCTGTCCCTTGTAAGCTGGATAGTGATGAAACTGTAAAGTTCTGATTGTCCAGTATCCACTTCAGTGCAAGCTCTTTCTTTTATTAATTCTGGTGAGAGACTAATGCTGGAGGCCCCAGTGGATTTTCATTCCACACAGCTTTATTGATCCTGGAGAGTTTTTCCTGTTGTTTGGATTGCTTTCCATTTGTTTCTGGAGCCCTGATTTAGTAGGCCTCTAGTTTTGGAGGTGGAGAAATATTTCTGTCTTGTTCTTCCTATCTTTCTTGCCTATCATCTAGTTATTCAGGGGGCAGAAAAGCTCTTAACAAGGCCTGGTATTGTTGCTCAAAATCCTTCTTGTTTCTACCATAGCCTGAAATGCTCCCAGTAATTGGTAATGGCACTGCAAATGCTTAAAATCAGTGAATCTAGAAAATACTTGACATTCTGAACTGTTTTACAATGACTCATGCTTCTGCTCTACAGACTGTCTGTCCAGATGGAGAGAACTACATGCAGCAACTAGTTTCAGCTCTGCTGGGAGATACTTTCCTAAAGGAATGTGTTCTCACCTCTGAGTGAGATCTTCTGGAGGATTACTGCATGCTACAGTCAACAAACCAACGGGGAAAAAGATGCACATCTTATAATAGAACACTGGCATGAATCAAATCAGACAAACAGATGATTCTGGGCATTTTACATAACCAGTCAAAATTAGTTTCTCTTCAGTTCGATCACATATCTGCAGCCCATTATAATTTAATCCACTTTGAGACTGACTATTATTAAGTTAAGATGAATTTACTTAAAAGGGAGACTTGTTTTAAACAGTACTAATTATTCCAGAAGTATGCTGGAACTAGGAACAAATTGAAAACATGTGTAAGCTTTCAAAATTCATTATTTAGGCCACTCAGTAACATTCTGCATGCTAAAGCTGCAAACTTCTTATCCTGAGATGCTTGAAGAGGCAATAATCAATTAAAGCAAGTTACAACTGAAGCAAGTGCCTGTGTGGATATTTGCCACTATCACACAGGTTTCAGGGCTTAGCAGAACCTTTTGAAGCTTGATCTAAAATCTCTAAATCTTGAATAAATGACTCTGGAATCAGGCTGGCTCCACAGCATCCTGTGATTCTTCCCATTTATATGGATGAACAGGTTGCTCTAATGGCTAGAAGGAATTTGACCTGTGCACATAATACAGAGGACCAGTATTACACTGCATTAACTATGTTTGGAATGAAGTTAAATTCTTAATCGATCTATTTTTGTGTGTCACTTCCTAAGATGGAATCTCTGTGCAAGATTACTTATACTCATTTAAGTTCAAAACACTGTCCTGCTCAGAGAAACTTCTCAGTTGTCTCAGTGTACAGCAAAACATCTATTTTGACTGTGTATAAAGATCAGCCACGGCCAGGTACTGCCCAGGAGGGACTATGTGGGGCTACACTTTGCTCTCATTTCATGTCCTAAGCAGGACTTGGGGAGATAAACCCACATCCCATTGTTATGCATTTCTGGGTCCCAGGTATCTGTGAAAAAGGCACTGTCCCAGGTGTTCCAATCCCTGCAAAGGTACAGAGTTCTGTCAGAGGGGTGATCAAGTGAAAGCAGCAACAAGCAGCTTCCTGTGCTAATGAGAGAATAAGATTTCGAAGATCCTACGTGTTTTAAAGAACTTTTCAAACTGAAACTAAAGCATCTTTTAGGATTGTTAATTACTCATTTTTCTTCTGAGGACAGTGATGCTGAGACCAGCACACAGTATCTTTCTGTCAGCAGAAGACACAGACACTGGGATTTGCATTCCCCCCACTGCCGGCTGGCACAACGTGACAGTGTTTGTGAACTCTCTTGACTGACTAGACAAAACTTCTACTTAAATATTAGTATCATAACGTAATAGTGAACCACAGGGTCTGAAATAAATGTTGTGCAGGTACTTTAAGCACCCCTTCTCTGATGGAAACAGAGTGTTTGTGAGTGTATCCCAATTCTGGCACTTTCTAGTTCTCAGTTCAAACAAGCCAAATGGAACCGATACCTTTCCTGATTAGCCCAGAAATCACCGTTCATCTTGTTTTATTTAAAACCTGTTTCTGCCCTTGCTCTTTTCTCAGTTTGACTTCATATCTTGAAATGTCTCATAACAGAAGTACTGACTTCACCTTTTCACTTGTTCTTATGGGATGTGTCTGATCTCACAGCACTGCCAGTTCCACCTGCAGCCTGCTGGGACCTTTGAACAAAGTTGGGAGCCTCAGTTCCCTGCAGAATTGGGCTGGAAATGTGTAATTCCCTCATCTTCTCAAACCTTTATAGTCTTTCAGTGGTCACATTTCAAATTCTGACTTTGGGAAATCTTACTGGTTAGTAAGAAGTTCATTGTTCTGAAGTTTTGCCTCCCGTGTTATAAAAGTATAAAGCAACTATAAAACCTGCTGCCTGAACTTTGAAATTCTTGTACCATAACCTGAGGACAAATATTTTTGACACCAAACTTCCACAGTTGTGTAATATCAGCAAAACTGGCAGGGTTTTTTTAACTATTATTTTTGTAAACACTGTACCAGAATACAATATTAAAACCTTTTAAGAAGAATAGGATCTGTAATAACTTCTCTTCATCCTAAAATAACAACTGGTTTGAACATTATTATACAGTTTTCTATACTTTTTTATCCTCCTTTTCTTGAATGTCCATAAATGAAAACATTCAAAAGGCTTAAATCAGTAAGAACATTGTAACCTAAAATATATTTTAGTGTGGAAGTAAACATTGCATTGGCTTTTTTGATCTCTTCATGCAATTTATATCAGAGAATATTTCCTATTCTACTTCTTATCCAACTACTTTTCTCAGCTCTAGTCATAAGAAAAGCTTTCTAGTTTATTATATGTCTTTATTTTACATTTGCACCACTTATTTCTAAAAAGAAACATATCTAAAACATCTGTTGGTTTTGTAACACTGTCGGTGGCTTCACAATGAGGAAAAAAGTAAGATTTTTAGTGTTTAAAAACCTCCAAGGATTTTGATTGTTTCATCCTTTCATCAAATTTGCTCCTGTGCATTTCCCACGTTAGGAAAGAGTTAACAACCTCCAGCCAGCAGACTGCAATCAACAGGTTGTTCTAACAGAAAAATAATAACCCTAATACATCTTTTAAAGTTTAGGAGGTTGGACTAAATGATGAAAAAATACCAATTAAAGCCCTCTTAAAAGCTGAAGTGGGGCCAGAACTGAAATGCTTTGTGTTTTAGGAAAAAATCTTTCTCGTTGCTAAGTGAAAGAACCATCACATTAAAAAAATTAGAACTTTAAAATTTCTGCCTTACCATCTCGAATTTAATTATCTGCCCACATAAAACGAGAACGAAACACTTGCTAACCTTTAGGTGGCCAATTCACAGGCAGGTGGAGAGGTTCAGGTCCCTGGAATAGCGTTGAAACAAAAGAAGCATCCTGTTTTTCTTTTTTCAGTGTCTCTCTCTTCTCTTTTTTTTTTTTTTTTTTTTTTTTTTGGAGCGTTTGAAAACTGAAAGGTGGGTGGTGGGGTGTGTGCAAAGAGAGGAGGGGGTGAAGTCAGCCCACGCTGGTGTAGGAAGAGTTTTAATGGCCGATGCTGGTAATATGGTTTGCCTGCTACAGTGTCTGCACTACTGCAGCTCTGTGTGTGGGCGTAAAGAAATGACACGACTGGGTTTCAAACCATTACACTGAAGATTTGCAAACAGTTAAAAAAAAAAAAAAAAAAAACACACACAACCCCATCAGGCACAAATGAAAAATTATCACTTTTTGCCTTTTATTTTTTTCCTAAGGTTTGTTTGTTGCTTTTTTTTTTTTTTTAACTTAGACAGGCAAGTTTCTTCTTCATCCTCTAAATTAAAAAAAAAATAATAGGTAAATTAAGTATTTAGGAAGGTTTTTAGATTTTACGTAGCGTGAACATTTTGTTATGGGTTTTGCTGCTGTTTTTTAATTAACCTACAAGAGCTTGTATTCCAGAAGGCTGTCCAGATTTCCACGGTAAAAGTCTTCAGAGCACACCTGTATTTCTGCCTTTGGACGTGTTAAATAGGTACCCAGATCTTGGGAGCACCAAGTAGCACTGTAGGATAGACAGAGCAGCCACTCCACAACTGGCCAGGTAGGAAAAATGAGGCCAGGACTATTTCCTTGAATATTCCACAAAACACAGAAAAGAAAACATGCTGGCACCCACTTTTGTTCAGTAGTCCAGCAATGCCTCAGGTTTACTCACCCAAACTGGGCAGAAAACAGACTTGAATGTTTGTTGTAAGTACTGGAGACCCACAGGAGTGAGACAAAGGGGATGTTCTCTGTAATATCGAGGGGAAGGAGAGGAAAGTGCTGTTTAAGCTGATACGAAATTGCTGACACAAGAGACTGAATATAAACAGTTACAGGCACACTGTTGTTGGGAGGGACAGGTGGAAGGTTTTTGTCAGACAAACAAGAACACTTCTCAAGCAGATTTTTTACCACAAAGAGTGAAAGAGAGAAAAAAAACAGTTTTAGAAAGGAGCTTGAAAACTCCAAGGAGCCTTTATGCCTTGGCTGCTCCATGATAGTCAGGGACTAACACTTGTTAAATATATATCTTCATGTACCTTGAGAGAAGACAGCCAGCTTGAAAATCATGTGCTTGGACAGAAGGCTTATGCATTCTGGAGTGGAAAGGTTTGGCTGTCTATTTTTTCAAATATTCAAACGATCCCCAAATCACTCAGGATTTCTATTGCCTTTGATGTTGTGCTGACAATCAAAAGCAGGGAAACACAGGCAAAGAGGGTGGGAAAGAGGAGACACTTTGTGATGCCCACATTGCTGTTTAGTGCAGGGTATCCCTGGCAGTTCTCAGCTCATCTCCTGCCCACAGGGTGAAGCAGGGAGAGTTCCCAGGGCTGAGGACCCAAAAGTGGATGCCAAACCAGCACAATTTAGTGTGTGAGTGAAAACAGCAAGTTTTCAGCAAGTCCTCTGGACTTGAGGACTTCAGACTACTAATCCTGAACTTTAACTAAGACTCTGATAAAGGGACTTGAGCAGTGAATCACCCAACAGTGAATGAAAAACGACCTTCAGTTCTGTACCTGGTAAAACTCTCAGAGATATTACCACTAACACACAGCACTAAGCCTTGGTACCAAGGGGGTCTGGCTACTGGCCACAGTAGAAGCCTGAATTCTTCTTTCATGTACACACTAACAGCTGAGGGCAGCTCCAGGAATATTTTACTGGAGAAATGTCTGTGGCCTCAGCTGATACAGAAAAGTGAATGTTTGGAGAGACAAGAAATCTGGCTCCCAGCAGGGCTCCATTCATGCAGACCGAGTGCCATTGTGCAGCCTGATGAGGACTGCAAAGTGGAATTGCTTAAATCAATTCAGTGAAGTTTAGTAACAAAACACACACCCTGAAGCAGTAACTCTGAAAGGTTTATGTGACATGAACAACTATGTATCCTGACCCTGAAGATGTCGTCTTTCCAAGTCACCATTTCTGCCTGGGTTTTGGCCATTTTGCTGCAGGTGAAGTAACACCTAGAATGTCTAAATGCACCTAATCCTCCCCTGAGGACTGCTCTCCATGAAGAACCATTATGAAATATTGCTGTTGGTTATCATAAATGGCAATATTTCCCTTATAGACATGAACTCTGAATGTACAGAAATCATGGTTGCCTACACAACTTTCATTTGACCAAAGGCACATTTCCACCATTAACATGACTTTTTTTTCACAAAGATCACAGCTTTGTAAATTCACAGAATCTCTTAAAGCAACTATTAAAAGTCTGGGGGGAAAAGTAAGTATAAAAAAATTCAAAGCATTCCAGTAAACAGGACAGCCAACTACTACTCTCATATCAATAATGCAGAACACCTAGTAGGATTCATCTGGCACTTCTGTCTTGTTGAGCCAGCAAAAACCACCACCCAAAGAGGGGAGTAACCCTCACAAACTGGTCAGGCCATACAGGAAAAAGAAGTCCAAGAGAAAAAAACTTAAAGACAAAAATGTGCTCGAACAGCAAAAGGGAGAGATGTGGCTCCTTTAGAAGCAAACACAAGTCTACTTGCCAAAGAAAAGCCAGTTCAAGGAAAACTAAAACAGAAGACAAAGTAATGGATCCCAGAGGGAAAAGACCCAAGGGCTGCCGAGAAAATGCAAGGGCAGTCACAGCACTGAAAAGGTGCAGCTGGGTGCACACACAACTCAGTGTTTCACTGAGAATGGAATGTCTCCTTTAAAGTGCTTGGGTTCCTTTCACAGCCCAGCAGCAGAGCTGGACACACACCCAGAGGAGAAAAGAAAAAAAGAAAACAAAAAATCCAGCCTCAAACCACCTTCCATTAAAAACTCACAGATCTTTTTATCCAGGTTTAGATTTAATGTGTTTTAGGTGAGGCTCTAAATGCTGAATCCTCATACAGTTTAATTTGGGGGTTATTTGGTTTAGATTTTTAGTATTAATTCACCATAAAAAGGTATACTGAAGGACTGTTTCATGAATTAATTTATGAGGACAGTCTACAATCCAAGAAAAAACTTGGACATCAGAGAGAAAAGGCAGATGTGTGAGTCCAGCTTTGTTTCTAAAGCATCAGATGATTGGGTGGGAATGAAGATCTCCAATTACTCCTCCTTGCTCAAATCATCCTTTTCCTGACAGTTAAAAGGTTAAAAAGTGGAGGATGTTACGGTGCCTCTTCTACAAAACAGATGTTTTGCAGGAGAAATACGAAGGGTCTTTCCAGGTCTTATAGATTGCTGGATTAATGAGCGGTAATTTCTCTTGGATTAATGATTAATTTTCAGGTATATCACATCATAAATATGAGTAATTACAATTATTACACACTTAGAAGCAATGTAGCTGTCAGAGAAACAGTTGCTTCAACTCAAAAAGGCAAGAAGGTTTGTTGGTTTGTACATGCACAAACTATAGACATATTAATTTTTCCATCTGTTTCTGACTTGTCATAGAAAAACACATAACCAGAACTACTGACAGTAGTCAGAAATGTTCTGAAAACCCCCAACTACACCAACTTAAATGTGTTTTACAGAAAAGAGAATAGAATTTGACAGTCATTGATCATTTGAACCAACTTTCAGATCAGTGTCAAGACCAGTAAAAGGAAGCATCAGTAACTATAAATATAGAAACAGAGCATTCCCCTCACTGTGACCCAGACCAACAGAGTCAGGTAGACTGTCCCAGTCCACAGTCTGCACCATTCAGCCAACTCAGCTATTTTGATTTTTAATTTTCCCTGTAAGTTTTTATGTAGTTGTGTCTTTTCTCAGCATGTTGCCAAGGAAACCCTACATTCCTGTAGCTTAGTATCCAGCTCCTTATTGCTGTAGACACAAAATAATTTAGGGTTTTGAACCAATTGATGCACTTGCCTTCCCATTATGAAGGGATCTTCACTTGTACCGTAAGCTGGATAGAGTTAAAGGGAGACCTTTTTTTAAAGTTCAGTTCTTCCAAAATGGCTATGGGAAATTTGCCAATTAATTCTTCTATTTATTAATTTTATTAATGATTTTACATGTCAATATTCTGTTAGGCTATATGCTATCCACTGGAAAGCAACCCTGTAATCTGACTGGTGTCTTCTCGTTTACCTACAATTCCTCTCTTGTTTTATTATCTTTGAACAGTGCTGAGTTCCTCTGACAAACAATATTTTGGGATTTTGTGAGAGCTGCCAGCTAAATTTCAGGTGCTACTAATTAAGTTGCAGTTGCACACTCCTTGTATCTGTGTCATAATTTTACCTGACATTTAGGCAGGTTTTCACTGGGAGAAGGGGTACTATATATAAATCTATACATATACACAGAATTTATGATGCACTCCAGAATTTATGATGCTGCCCTTCAACCCCTGGGTGTGCAGTGGTGGTGTTTGCCCTGCCCATGCTGAGCTTCCTGTGCAGCACATGAGTCAAACTCACACTGCAAAGCACCGGGCCAGTCTCAGATTTGGGACCAATCATTTACCTCTTGCCTGATGTCTGAGAAACATTTTCAGTGTGTTCTGTACAACACTCACCTGCTCCAGGCACGGCCCAGAAGGGTTCTGCTTCTTATCACAGGCTTTAAAATGCCATTTCAATTGTTACCCTCACAGAGACGATCGGTGGGACACACAGAATGCCTCGTGCATGGATAAAGGTGGGAAATGGGAAGGAGCACTTGTAGCTTCCTGGCAGAGTGAAGGCTGTCATTGCACTGGACTTGTATTTCAGTTGTGTGTGTCATGGTAAGAGGTATTTCTGTCCCTCTCCCCTTCGGGTTTCATGGAGCTTTGCTTTTATCTGTCGTCAAGGAAACACCAGGGTTTTTTCCCCCTTGCTCATTAATGTCTGCATTTTTGTTTCCATAGCTACAAAGGAACCTTAGTGTTTTAAAATAGCAGTAATTGGATTACCATGAGTTTTTGTAATTTATTGACACCATTAATGGCTCTGATTTTCAAAAGCAGACACCGAAATTATATCAGCAGTTTTTCAGCTATTAACATGTGTTATCTCCTTGTCCTGAAATTCTGGGTACATGCTAAGAAAAGTCTCCAGCATCCAGACACTCACTGCACCCAGACTCAGGCTCCAGACGTGGTGCTCTGAAATTACTGAAAATACTCTGCTTTTTAGTTGTATAGGGTTCAATTTCTGATGGTCCCCTGCAAAGAAGTGCACAAGTTCTGTTGTGAATCTGCTCAGTGTCAAGCCCAATATCTAACATATTACAGATCCTTTGTAAATTTGACCCCAATAGGATAATCTGGGAGAATTTTTACAGCCAAATATCTGGCCAAGTCAGGATACAGGAATATGGAAAAGCACAAAGAATTGAGAGCACCAGTGTTGCTAAAACTGGTATTACTTAACAGGGACATAATTCATGTTTTCTTAAGACAAAAAGTGACTGATCTGCATGTCTGTCTGTGGCTGTGTGGACACTGCTACCACACTGAAATTGTTCCTATGCCATCTTCTAACACTCCTGATTTACTTGTTACCATTTACTTGCCTGTTTGAAGTGCTTACAAAGCACCATAAGTGCATGTTCTATACCCTCACCCTTTCTTTCCATCATCTCCAGTCCCTCCTGCCCTCAGCCTCAGTAGAGGACAGAACTGAACTCACTGTATGAACATCCCACCAGTGCCACCACTCTGAGCCCCAGCCAGGAGACACACACCAGTCCCACAGTGTACCTTGATTAAAATTAACCAACAGTTTAAGAAGTTGTAAGAGCAGGACAGACAGAATGACTGGATACCACCTATTTTTTTTTTTTTTTTTAGGAAAAAAAAAGCTAAAGAGAGTCACCAACCCAAAATGTTTACAATGTAGGTATAAGAAAAGGGTGACAAGTGGCTAAACACAGATAAGTGTGAAAAGGAAGCCTCTTAAATCTAAAATATTAGTTCCTATTTTTCATACTGGATTTCTGTGTATCCTTGAGGCTCAGACATTCCATTGCCATAGAAACAGTACCCTGTGTCTCTGAGGACCATCCTGTAGATGCTGTTATGGAAACAGTCATCTCAACAGCTCTCCTCATAGTATAGATTTCAGTGATTGTGTTTGTAAAGATCCATTGCTAAACTATCCTTTCAGGGTTCATTTTAATAAAAACTAGGTCTCTGAAGTATTGAGCAATTTAATAAACTCCTCAAGGCTGCTCCAAATTAAAAATACAGCAATGGAACAAAATGTATAATAAAATTACAGGGCCCTTTCAATAATTACCAACCTTTCCAAATCTCTGTTATTAGCAAAGATTTGAGGGACAAGATGGTCTGTCCTCCCCAACAGTCATTAGTAAAACTACTTCAGGAAAGCAAATTTTCAAGTTGTGTTCTGTGCAAGGATCCCTTCACACACCCATCCTTATGTGCTTGCATGGGAATGAAATTCAAAATATAAGAAAGTGCAATGAGAAAATGTGGCTCAGTTGACTGAACTGGGAACTGTGAATTCTTAAATCAAGGTGAACCATTCCCTTGCCTCAGAAAAGCCATCTAAGTCAGATTTTGAAAAAGATAACATGTGAGTTGGAAGCTCAACTCCCACTAATTTTTTCCTGGGAATTGAGTCCTTAGCTGATCCTAGAGCTTTGAGAAAATCTCCTCAACATTTTCATGTTTGTAACGTCTGAGACACTACTACTTACATATTTCATACTTCCTTATTTCACTAGACTACTGTGGGCATGAGGAATTTTTATTTCCTTGAATAAAGCCATCAAAGAATCTGAGACACAATTATAAGGTGTTATTTGAGTTAGTGGTCATTCATCACTTAATGTGTCAGATGTAAATAGCTTCCTGCCTAATTATATAGATTCTGCTATTTAGTTACTGCACCTTTAGACTGTAAATTCACATTTTTTATCTTTATCTTGGCTTTTTTAAAATCAAATTCATCCACACCAAGAAGATCCTTTCCAACTCAAACCATAGGTTATATCCTATTCTTTATTCCTACACAAAATACTAGTTATTGTGGCTTGTGAAGGAAACATTTCCTAGCAGTGAATATCTGAATATCTCTGACTAGAGACAACATTTTTCCTAACGTTTCCTTTAATAGTTTAGAGTCTATAAGCTTTGTTGTTTGAGACATGTGTCATGATTGCCAAGGAGTTTGTTCTCCAGATTGTTACATGTAAAGATTCCATCTTCCCAGGGCTGCTATTCCCTTAAGTCTCTGTGAACTGTCACAGCTTTCAGTGCTTTCTCATATTATTTCTGAAAAGACAGATTAAATTGAAGTGCTCATTTTAACTAACAAAGCTGACAGGTATAATCCCATTTTGTTCATCTTCCAGAAATTACAAGTGTTTTAGCAAGGTTAGCAGTTGTTCTCCTTCTCTTCATTTATAGCCATGATTTTCAGAAAACAGAATATCTTTTTTTTTTCTTTGGGTTTAGTATTTCAGTTCTTGGAATGCATGCCTGTGCTGAATAGATTCTCTAAGAGGCAACAAAAAAATACACTAATTAAAAAACAGATGACAAACCATACTCTTAATATAGGCATTTAAAAAAAGCCTACAAGCAGATGAGGTAGGAATTACTTTTTGGAAGAGAATCTTTTCTAAGTTAGCACAGAAGAGATTCAACACCTGAGGTTGGCCTAAACCCTAATTCTGCAGACTTTTTTTCATGGTTTTGATCCTCACTATCAGATGGATAATTATTGAACCAAAAAGAATATTCACCATCACTTTTCTAAATAAGGGTCTTTCTTACAGGTAGTTGTAGTTAACTTTTGTTTAAATCTGTGCAGATTCCTTGTAGGAGTGTTCAGATGGTTTTGAAAGTATTCCTAATTTTATCAGCAGGGATTAAGATATAGATAGATAGATAGATAGATATACATATATATATATATATGACACTCTGAAACACACATTTATAAAAGGAACAAACATTAATTGTGGGGTAACCGAATTAAATAAGTTTTAGTTGCTTCTGATACTGGGCTGTCTCCAAGCTCTGTGTTTGGTGAAGCTTTGTGGAGGCTTTTTATTAATATCAGAGTTTCACTTAGAGCTCTCCTTGCTCATGCTCTGGCAGAGCAGTGGCCGTGTGAGTCCATCTGCTCGGGGAGTGCTCAGCTGGTCACACACTATTTGTTTTTTCTGTTCCTATGCTACTCATACCACTGGACATTTGGGAGCCCCGGACTTAGAATGCGTGTCTTGATTAAAAAGAAGAGCTGCTGTAGGTTCTGTGCTCTTCATCTTACCTTTTTATAGACCTTGGGGTTTAATAATTACTGCTTTACAGTATTTTATGTATTGCAGAGAGTTGCTGAATGCTCAGAATTTGTCACTGGTAGAAAGTGTGTATAAAACCTCCTCATTTCTGAGCAGGGAAACCATACATTGACACTAAGAAGCTCAAACTCCAATTTTACCATCTTATTAATCATGAACCTGATGGATATCCTATTGATTCAGTGAGGTGGAACTGATACAAATGTTACTTGCTAGTGCAGAAACTTGGAAGTGGTTCTTAAATGACTCAATTTAGAGAAAAAATAAATTGAGGCATCTGGTAAGAAAGTGCTTTAATGTACAATGTGCAAGACCTAGGTATGGCAAATTACATTTTAAATGGTTGCTTTGTGAGAAGACTACTCATTGTTAAAACTACATTTACAAATATTTATTCCTTTATGAAATATTTTTAATTTAAGTTTGTGGCTGTTAACATTTTGGACTCTACAAGCATATGTACATCCTCAGGAGATGGATGGCATTAATCCAAGTTGGCTTAATCATACTGTGATGGGTGTGAGGCTTTCTCAGTGCTTGGAATTTAATTTTTTTTTCATTTATACATGTTGTTTATTCCTTTAATTATTGCTGAAACACTAAGATGCATACAGCTTTGTTTCAGCATCACATAAGTATAGGCAGTATGATGATGGCAAAGCTTTTTTCTCTCAAAGGGCTCTCTAATTAATCATCACTAATGAAGCTGCACTAATTAACAATAATGGGGTGGGTGAAGGCCTAGAAGAGTCTGAATTCCATATCTAAGAACTGTTGTGTGCACTGAACACTCTCCATCCCTGGTACAGAGTGAGATGTGAGTGTGGAGAAAGACAAGTGTCTGAGTCTGCAAGTGCCCAACCTCCACAGCAGGATTTAAGGTTGTGATGATGTTAACTTGGTGTTTTCCACAAGTTCCATAAATGGATTTTTACAGCTCATATGTTCTTGTAATATTTACCAAGTTCTTAGAACCTCTTTAAGTTGTTGCATTAATTTTACTCCAATTTTCTTTCTGTTCGTGTACAGGCCTGATAAATGAAATGTGTTTGGCTTCGGATCAGGACAGTTCTAGAGAATGTAGTGGAGTTCTTCTGCAGGACTTCCAAGATTATAAGTATTCCCACATATTCCTCTCACTTTCTTTAAGTGCTATGAGATTTCACCATTAAGTTTATAAAAAAACACCTGTAGTGAGTGTCAGACAGTGGTTACAGGACAGTGCAGACTCAGGCAGTTATCAAGCTGGACTCTGACAGATTTGATCACACCACCTCATTGCCTTTAATTTTGACTTTTCTTAAATGGAAATCTATTATTTTAAATTAATGAAGATTTTTATGGAGTCTGTTTGTTAGTTTTAAATGTTTATTAGAGAACACCATGAAAGAAAGTATTTTTGTTCCAATTGTACAAGAAGAGTATCCTGTTACTTCATTGGCATAGAAGATTCTTGCATTCTGTTTCTATCTTAAACTCTCCTCTTTGATTAATATTTTTATTTGTTTTTCTTTTATAGTTTATTCCTTAGGTGGGATGAAATAAACTCATGAAAAACCCCTGGGAGGTACTTGGAAAATAGGTGTATTTTCAGAACAGGAAACTATCACTGGCCAGATAAATATCAAAACTATTAAACTCTTGGAGTGCCTCATCCCCAGAAGGAAAAGGATCACTTTCAGGTGCAGTTTTTGACTCTCAGTCTCGCTGTTTTGCTGTGGGTTGTCAGTCCTGTCCAAACACCAGCATTTCTTCTCAGCTGGGAGTTGGGAATTCCTGCTGTCAAGCCCCCCTGAGGAGGTTGGGACTGAGCCTTAAGTTGCTGTTACTATTAAAGATCTGAAGACTGTGGTCCCAGAGACAAGGCCTTGTGCTCTCAGTTGCTGAGACTGGATCCTCCCCCTCCCAAAGAGGTGGCAAATACAACCCCAGCACTAAGGACAGCAGAAAGAGTCTTAAATCCAGGACCTACCTGTTCTGTAGCCCCCAAAACTTGGAGCAAAAATGATTTAATGGCTTGCCTTCACCACAGCTGGCAGATGTAAGTCAGAGGTGTCTCAAGACTGTTTGGTTTATAATTGATCTGAGAATTGTCTTGGTGACAATTGTCTGGGTAAGTCAGCACTGGTGACTAAGTGGCCACTTCCATGCAGTAGTTTGTGTATGAGGAATTCTCAACTTTTATTCCCACGTTGTGGTTTCTTTAAACCATGTCCAAAGATTTCTGAAACAAAGAGCTTGATACAAATTTTGGACACAGGAGCAAAGTTTGAAGACCATGAGTTGTGTTTGTGATTTAACACGGAATTCTGACCACGACCTGTCATCGCTGGTTCTTCAAGGCTTAGCACTGAAAATTGCATTCGACAAATGTTTGAGAGCTCAGTGTGTTTTTATAAGAACTGTTGTCTTTAGAATTACACAAGGATCAGATAAGGGGAGAAACATGATTATTTCCAAACAATGTAAAATCATCAGCATTTTCAAAGTACTTTAAAATTTGTGGTTTTGTCTTTAATTGTGCTGTTACTGTGCTTGCTCATGAGTTGTGGGTGATAACATGTGATTATCATCTGCCTACTTGATCACATGCACATTTGTGATGCTTGCAAGAGAAAACATTATCTGGCTGGTAACTGTCATATTCTGCAGAGTTTAAGAGACTGTTTCCCAGACAACAGAATAGTCAGATTGCATCCGTGAGCTGTGCACCGCCGGGTACCTGCACTCCAGTCAAACACCTGGTGGCAGCTGCTGCTCCCACTAATGACACAGACGAGATGGAACTGTTTGTACAACCAAAATCAACCTGCCTGAACTATGGAAGTCAAGGAAACTGCACAATCTAAACAATAAAAAAAAAAAAAGTCAAAAATTTTATGTCTAACAAGTCAAACAGCACAAACCCTGAGTCAGTTTTTAAATTGAAACCAGATCATTTACTAGCCAAAAGGCATTTAAGGGCCATGTTTAAGACCTCTGCTGCCAGGCATTAATCCAAGGGCAGCTGTATAATGTGGTAAATCATTTCCCTGTGGCAATTTGAGCACCTTAAAACAGCCCAGGGAGCAGGTGGAAGGGCCAACACTGGAAGCAGCTGGAGCGCTCAGGGCGAGGAGGTGAGTTGGGCAGCGGGGTGGGATCCTGTGTGCACTGGGTTTGCATTTTGTGTGCTGTCAGGTGGGAGGGAAAGCTGATAAGAAAAATAATTATTTGCATTCAAATTATATAAACAGCACCAGAGCCTGGTTAGTGTAGGCAGTGTTAGACAGTGTGGTTCCCAACTGCAGTACTCCTATCACACGCTCCATAAGGGAGGTATATGAGGCAACAGCCCTCTGAAGGTGTGCAGCTCTAAGACTCTTAGCACATTTATGGCAGATGGATAAAATAAAAGGCATCTGACAACCAAATGTTTGTCCCAGGGCTAGTGCCAGATCATTCTATTAAAAATGCACATTCTTAATATGTCCTAACTTAAACTCTATGTTCTGAAGCAAAGATAATGTCTGGGTTTGAATTTATTGGGGGGGGCAGGATACTGATGGGATTTGGGGTTTTTTTCAAGGTAGAGGGTGTTATTCAGGGAAGGGAGAGATATTAAATTCTAGGTAACAAAATCTCAGTCTCCCCTTGATGTTCTTAGCTCTAATTAGCTAAAACCAACTGAGCTGTAGCAGTGTGGCAAATTAGCAGTTCATATCCCATGCTATCTTTTCACATCAGGTGGCCACAGGTTTCTGAAGATCTTATCCCAAGTTTTTAATTTTTTACTTGTTAAGAATGACTTCAAGTGTGAGTGGAATAGTAAATTCATTTCCTTATAGATCCTGTGCCATTTGGTCAGAATATCCTGTAAGTTTACAGAGGGTTCGTTGGGCTGTGTCATTCCCTCTGTGGGTATTATGAGAGATCCAGGGTAGAATCTGATGGAAGATTTATCATCTTCTATACACCTCTTTCATATCTAGTTTCTGACTGTAACTCTGCCTTTCAGAGCTTCTCCAAGAAAAAGCAATTCCATGGTCAAGATGAAGAGGCCATTCTCTCTTCAGCAAAGACTACTTTAAATCCTTTTGGAATATGCATTAGCTCCTGTTAAGAGTTTCCTAATTACATTCTGTGAATGCTACCCTAGGCTTTCCTCACTGCTTCCATAATTAAAGTACCAAACACTCTTCCCTCATATTGAGTGCACAGGTTTACAACAGGACACTTGCACTCTGAATTGTTCTCAGGTTTTTCTGTCTGGAAATCTCAGTTTGCCATTACCTGAGACATTGGATCTGCTTTATTTAAGTCACATCCCTGAGAGTTATGTGGTGTAATTGTGCCTGTGGTGACAAGTATCTGCAAAGGAAGGAAAAGCTACTTCATCACAGATGAGGACTTGTGGAAATTGAAGTCTAAAAGACTGTTCTTGAGCATGTGAAGCCCCATGGACGGGGAGTGGAATACACAGATAACACATGTGATCCAGCCCCCTCTCGTGGTTTTTTCCACTCAGAAGGCAGGAATGGATCCAGCCTTATTTCTTAATAAAAATATAAACACCTGCATCTTTTTCCTGAAAGCTGATATGTTACTGCTATTTCATCTCTTCTTTGAGGATGGTAGGCATTAGTCTCAGGATAGAAGATGATAATCTGTAAAAATGTTTATTTGCATTTCATATGCAACTTGACAGCCATTTTCACCAGAACACGGGGGGTTGGGGAAAGGGATTTGTTGGCCATTTCTATAATCTGATTTTTCTTCAAATTGAGGGAGGAAGAGCACTAAATACTAAAGGATAGAAAACTTCCCTGGTAGACTGATAAAGTACAGAAACAAATACAGGCATTTGGTTGTCTTACACTGATCTGTGAGGGTTTTTGGGTTGAACCAAATTGCATGATACTAACAAATAGCAAGTCAGTGTTTGTTAGTGGATGAAGTGGATGAATGCACTGAACTTAGAGAAGTGTTAAATGTCTTGCTAAAGCCGAGCTGGCTCCAGTGGTTGTTCTGGGGCGTGCAGAGCATTGGCTAAATCAGCCCTGACCACTTGTTCTGGCTCTGCAGCACTAGCAGGGCCTTTCTGTGATTTTTCCATTACATTTATGGTTCACTGTGCAGAAAACAGGAATTCAGCTGCCCTGTTCCCTCACAGTGCTCATCCTGGCCATAGGAAGAGCTGTCCCACAGCAACAGCAGGAGCAGCTGGAGATCAGGAGTAACTGCCCTCAGGTGGCACCTGTTCCAACCAGCTCACACAGCGTGGGCAGAGCTGAGGATGTGCTGCACAGCTGTGGGTTGGCAGTGCAGCTCCCTTCACTGAGGCTGTGAGATGCTGTAGAGCTCAGGGGTCTTAAATGCTGTTTGCTGCATTCCCATCCTTCCCCTCTGCCTGGGGTCAAATGATGAGCACAGGCCTCAGGGACAGGAATTTGGGATGACATCAGTTATGAAGAAGGGAGGTGAAAGGCTCTGGAGTGGGAGGCCAGCTTGCTGGAGCAGTGGGAAGCAGCTGGTAGGACCCAACATCAGCAGTGGAACTGTTAATGCCACACAGACAACATAAAACTGGTAAAGAATCTGTTTATTTTGATAAAAACACATTTTCAGTATTGAAGAGGAAATCTTTTTCTCCCACCTACATTTCTTTGAAGACTCAAAGGGATGCACCAAAGCATATGAATGCTAATCCATGGTACAGTGTTCTGATGGTACTCTGTTCTGACACAGTAAATGTATCCTCATGTAAACTCATTTGCACCTAACACCATTTTTCCAGAATGTTATATGTTGTGTAATGGTGGCATTTCCTCACTGGTGACTCCTTTGGATCCTAATCAGAGTTCTGGAAGGATTAAAATTACTTCAACACTCCTATTAAAGTATGAGCAAAGCTAGAGAAGTTGGTACCATCCTACACTGGAGTATTGCTGTGCTTTCTTTCTGAAGAGTATTTGCTTATTAAAAGTACCATTTGGTGTGACCTTCTCATGAGATGTACTTTAACTTGCAAGGCATTAAAGAGCTGATTCTGGAAGCAGAGAAAAGGAGCTTTGCTATCCAACAAAGTTCTTATAAGAAGTACATTAAGGAACATAAAGCCAAGCACGAACAGCCTCAGATACTGAATTTACAGCTAATGAAAGAGTGTTTATAGATGGGGCCTGTAAGAGTTGTATAATAGAAGTCATTGAATAGGTTTGTCTGGAAAACATTGACAATGTCAATTCTCTGCCAGTTCCACCGCCAGACTGACAAAGGGAGTGGGAACTTGTTTTTCCAGCTCAAGAAAAGAGCTTTGAATGGTTTTCATTAATACTGCCTGTGAATACCAATATTTCCAACAGATGAAACTTGGATTTCAGACCAAAGAACTGGTGCAGTGTTGCTGCAGTGTGGCTGTATGTCAGAATATGAGAGGGGAAAAATATACGACAATACAATTTTGTTAAGTGTAAGAAACAGTGAAGACCTCAGCTGTGATGTGAAGTGCTGTGATACCTGAAGCAGGGGAAGCAACCAGAGCCCATATGCCCATATGGCAAGGGAGTGCAGCAGGGAGGTACAGAACTTTCCCCACTTACTCTTCTGTGTCTCAGTCACCTCTGCACAATTTGGTTCTGGTGATCCATTGTGAATGGCACTTCTGACTTGCATTCATTTCACTGAGAAGTGCTTGAATCACTGCCATTGTCACCAAACCCTTTTCAGGCTAGAATTTAGTGACCTTTTGTACTGCAGAGTGCTCTAGTTGATCTCTGGAACAGGGCTTTGAACCAGGGTGATGTTTGCTCTCCTGAGACACAGTATCTGTATTTTTCTTACAGAAAGCCAAACCCACAGTCGTGAGGACCTGACTGGGTTTGACAGTCTGGACTTTTGGTACCTCTTACGGAGTGCAGGAATGATCTGGACCTAATGCTGGAGATAAAGCAACTTTTGGGTTGTGAGTTATTTGTGCTTTTCAGTCAAAATTATGGCTATTTTATGAGGCTGCTTCAGGAGGACAAGTCATGTCTCTCTGCTGGCAAACACAGGTCTGGAAGAAACATAAAAACATAAGCCCTTGTTCTGCAAATAAATTCTTTGGGACCTCAGAGCACATTCAGACACAATTCCTAGAGCCATCTCAAGTATTTCTTAGTCATGCCAAGGAGATTGCTCTGCCAAAATCCATATGAAACATCTGATCACAAGGCCCATTTTGTGCATTAGTTGCCTTCAGAAGTTGTAAGTAAACAGCTCCTGAAAACCATATATGGACTAAGGAATCTCACCCTGGGTTTCCAGAGGGTTTTATATTCTTTTGTAGATGTCCATCATGGTCCTCAGTGTTCATCTTGGTAGTGCCTGGGACTGGACAGAATTAATTGAAAGAATATTTTCTTTGATTTCAATTATTAGACATAAAATGTCAACATATAGGGGGAAAGATATTGAATGTCACAGTATTAAATTCTTGGTCATAAAGATGTACAAAATATTCTCAAGATGCAACATCACCAATGTAAAGAATTGTAATGTTTAGGATGTGCCACTTTTTCCTCTGCAGTTACAAATTTTCCTAAAATCTGGCTTTATTATTTATGACTTTGTTATTCCTCTTACAAGTCAGGTTTATAAGTCATTCTGCCCTTGATATCACTCAAATACAGAAACTTAACAAAACTCCTGTTTAAATAACCTGAAGTTTCTGTGAGCAAGAACTGCTGAAATCTAGCTCCTAATCTGCACCATATGTTGGCATGCTTCTTTCTTGGAGATGACATTTTGCTTTGCTTCCAGTAGATAACATTTCTTTTACAGAAAAATACCCTGATGAGAGGCTAGAGGCAGACTGATGGATCAGGGGTGGGTCTATTTAAGGGTCACCATCTTCCCCAACTGCTTGTCACACTGAGACTTCTCAAAAGGCTTTGCATTTTTAACATCCTTTGGAAAATTCTCCAGTTGCAAAAACAGCTGGGTGGCTATTAAAACTACAATGTATTTAGAACTGATCTTCCAGAAATAACTCTGTACATTATGGTAGATCACCAGCATGTTAATGTTTAGGATGGTTCCTGTGAGGTGAGAGAGTTGGGAAAAGTGACATCAGTTGGTATCTCCGACAATAATTTATTCTCTTAGCAGCTCTCATTTAACCATTTGCTACTGACTGAATCTGGTATTGTATCATTAAATAGTAGTTTGTCTGTAACACAGCTGATGGATTTGATGTTCAGTGTGAACAAGAAGATGCACAGGGGACAGTCCCTGAATGTGAGGCCGGGATTTCTGGCACTGGGTGCAGTAACCGGTCTCTGGGAAGTTTCCCTCTCCCCTTTCTCCAGCGAGGCAATTTCTGTGCACTCATGAGCGCACAGCGGTCGCTCCCCCTGTGCTGCGTCCGTGAAATGATCTCCGGCAGCTTGAAGAAAAGCAAAAATTCCACAAAACTCACGGGACATTCAATAGGGCCGAGAATTTTAGAAGACGCGTGATGCCGCGCCAGCGGACATGTGGGTTTGTTTGCTGCTGCAGCTGACGGAGCGTTACCAACATCGTAAATCACTCGGGTTTGAAACGGTCCGGGACAGTTCGTGGAAACCCTTCCACGCTGGGACAGCGCGGCCGCCGGTTATGAAAGGCCTTACAAAACCCGTTACAAAAGCACTTATAAAACCACTCGCAAACCCCGCGGGCCCGCCCGGGCGGTGTCACCCTCGCGCCGCCCGCGGTGATGTCACACCGCCGCTGGTGACGTCACCGGGCTCCCTGCGCCCCCTGCTGGCCGGCCGCGGGAACTACGGCGTGACGTCATCTGACACCTGCGGCTGCGCTGACGTCATCGGTCAGCTAAGGCCCCGCCCCACCCAGCAGGACGGCCCGGGCGGGCTGGGCCGTGTGAGCCGCGTGTGAGCGCCGGCCCGAACCGAGCCGGGCGCTCAGACACTCACACGGACACTCGAGTTTCCGACACGGCGCCGGTCCCGCCCCGCCTTGCCCGGACCGCGCCGGGCCGGCCCCGTGACGTCACGGCGGCGCGGCGCGGCGATTGGCGGGCGCGGCCGGCGTGCCCCGCGCAGGCGCGCGGTGGCGGCGGCAGAACCGGGGCGGCAGTGCCGGCAGTGCCGGCCCGCGGTGCCGAGCGGCGGCTGCGGGGGAGCGGCCCGGCCCGGCCCCGCCGCCGACATGAAGATCTGGACCTCGGAGCACGTGTTCGAGTGAGCGGGGCCGGGCCGGGCTGGGCAGGGCAGGGCAGGGCCGGGCGGGGGGGGGGGGGGGGGTGGCGGGGCCGGACCCGGGCACGGCGGGGCTCCTCCGGGCCGGGGGCTGCGGTGGCTGCGCCTCCCCGGGGCCGCCCGCCCGCCCCGAGGGTGCTCCGCGCCCCCGCCCTGCCCCGCTCCGCGGCCGCGGCCTCCCGTGACCTTCCTTGCGCGTCCTTGCGGGACCGGGGTCACGGCCCGCGGGGAAGGCTCCGGGACCTCGGCAGGGGCTGTACCTGTGCGGGGCTGTACCTGTGTGCTGTGGACGTGTGCACGGACCCACCCGCTGTGTCGGCGCTGCTCAGGGCTGTAGTGCTGCCCTCGCCTTCAAGGGGCAGCGCTGAGCGAAGCACACTGAGGCCCTTCGTGGTGTTGGGGCTCAAGTGCTCCAAAAGACCTATGTTAAAAATAATCCGAGGGAAATACTCGTTAGAGGAGAGTAACAACTTAATAAATCAATCCAGTATTACTGAAATCTGGATGAAGCACAGTGTTTAACATTATGTCACAAGGAAACGTTCTTATCAAGTTATAATATAATATGACACCAGATTATTGAGGTGTGTTGTATGTTTGACTTGCATGTGGCACTGTCCAGTCCATGAAATAGAGGTGTTTCTCTAGGAAGGATATGTGTAGGGTTGAGAAGTGGAAATGGAACTGCTTTAAAGACATAAATCAAGTGATATGTGTCATTCAGTTTTAATAGAAACCCTGTTAAAACCGAAGGTGTACAACTTTGTGTCCTGCCTCTGTTTCGTCAGCCACCCCTGGGAAACTGTGACCACAGCTGCCATGAGGAAATATCCAAATCCCATGAACCCCAGCGTGGTTGGAGTCGATGTCCTGGACAGACACGTGGATCCCAGTGGGAAGCTGCACAGCCACAGGCTCCTGAGCACAGAGTGGGGAATTCCCTCCATTGTGAAATCGGTGAGTATTTCGTCACAGAGCCAGAAAGGGATCCCTGCAGGGAAGGGAAGCTCGTGAGCCAGGTGTTGTAATAGACGTGTATCATTTCATAACTTTAATGGTTTAAAAATACAAGCATTAATGTATCAGGAAGGCTCAAGAGCAGTACACATAGTGACTTCCCAATAGCCAGAGATTGCCTGGATCTAAGATTGCTTCTACTAGGAGGATTAATCTACCTCAACTCAAGAGTTTTCTTTTAAGTTAAACCCTAATTCTGTTGTCTTGGTGTCTGTTCAATGCAATTATCACTACTTACACATTTAAAGGCAGGAAAAATTGCATAATTAATCCCATCTATGTTTGCCTGTCCTCCAGCTCATTGGCACCTGCAGAACAAGGACATATGTTCAGGAGCACTCAGTTGTTGACCCTGTGAAAAAAACAATGGAGCTTAAATCCTGTAATGTAAGTAGCTGTGTTTGTGCAACTGCAGTGGATTACAGGGTATAACAGCACCTTGTGCATTTGAAAAGGAAAGTCATCTTAAAAATAACTTGAAAATTGCATTAGAACAATACAAGTGTTACAATAATTGTGTAACAGTTTGCCCTCTATACTACTCCATCTGTCTGATCCCACTGTGGAAATGTTCTTATAAATGTGGTAGCTAGTAAATTATGCAAAAAAGTTAAGAGAAATAGATCAGCAAATGCTGAACTTGGATATTTCTCTGTCTTGTTCTACAACCCTATACTTGGAGGAAAAGTGTAATGTTTAAATGCAATATAAGCATTGGTTTTGAAACTGCAGTTTTATTTGCTTAATCCCTTTAATATTTGTATCAAGGGGTGATCCTGTCTATTGCTCTACAGATTTCATTTACAAACCTGGTGTCAGTAGATGAGAGGCTTGTTTACAAACCACACCCTCATGAGCCACACAAGTAAGTACCTCTCTGCTCTAAGATTGCTCTGAAGTAGTACAGACTTTGCTTTGAAAATTCCCATGGTTTCCCTTGAACAGAAGATGAGGTTTACGTGGCCTCTGTTATGGTAACTTTAAAAAAGGATTAAATGGACTGTCATTTCCTCCAGTGACACTGCTTCTGCAGAGCACCACTGGGACACTTCGGGTCATGCTGTAAAGGAGCCCAGTTCAGCTGTTCAGGGGTGTCCTGTCTGTAACTGAGTTTGTACATCTGCAGTTTCCAGCCCCTGTTTCTGATCTCTCCGTCAGCCTGAGCAGAGACTCTGCACTAGAATGCACATTTATCTGCCTTTAGTCATTAATTTTGGAGGTTTGTGTTTTGGTGGTTGGTTGGGTTTTTTTAAGGCAAATTTAGAGCTTACTGAGTCTGTACTGCTGGAAGCAGTGATAACTCTGAAGGATCATTCTAGGGATTCTGACATAGGAGTTTTTTTCTCTCATGACTGTCAGAACTGTTAAATCCCTGTTGTTGAAGGGAATGTTTTTTAATACTGTTTTCCTAGTATTCCAGATCTTGTGTTTCCACTCTTAATGTCCTGCTGCTAAAGATGGAAATGGCTGAGTGCCACTTGGACTTGGTGGGCACTCTTGGCTTTTATTTTATGAGTAGAAGCATAAACCAGTTCTGTGTTACACAACCAGGCTGGTGAGGAAATGCATTTTTTGGGGAGGAGTGAATTGCTTTCAGCAGTGCATTCTTTTTTAAACTACTCAGAATAATTCAGTTTCCTGCTCTCTGTTTCAGAACCATTCTGACACAAGAAGCAATAATATCTGTCAAAGGTGTCAGTCTCAGCAGTTACCTAGAAGGGCTAATGGCAAACACAATTTCTTCTAATGCTAAAAAAGTAAGTATGATTTTTGTGTAAAATATGTTAACACTGGCTGAATGTCAAAGGGAATAAAAGCCTCTGTTTTACTTTTTGGCTTTGTCAGCATTCTTAGGAAAGGGCCACATAGTTCTACTGCCTTTACTGCAGAGTAAATGCTGACTGAATGCTCAGTGTGGTGAACTTCCTCTTTTTCCTCTTGTGAATGAAGATAATAAATTATTTTTGTCAAAGGTCTCTGAATCCTCACCAGAGAAAACATCTGCACTCACTTAACAGTCTGGCACTGTCATTCTTATGCTGCCCTCTTGATGCCATCTGTTAGTTTTTGCTGTTGAAAAAGGATGTACATCCAGGCAGATCTGAAGTAGTTCTGTGGGAGTAATGACATGTTGTTTTAATTGAGAGTCTGTCCTCTAGGAATCCAAAGGTGTCTTGAGTTCAGCCTCAAGAACAATAAAACAACCTGGATAAAAGGGCTTTTGTGGATCATAATGTGAGCACTGCTGACCTAACGGATTGTTTTCATGAAATGTAAGGCAGAACATGTTCCTGCAGTACTCCAGTTATTGAAATAAAAAATACCCAGAGGCATGTATTTCTGTACCTTTTCTTTTGTCATTTCCAGTAAGACAGGACCTAACCAATTTACTTCTTTGCTAAGATTTATGCTAAACTTTTCTTTAACTGCAGGGCCGGGAAGCATTGGAATGGGTAATTAAAAGACTGAATGCTGAAATTGAAGAGTTTGCAGCTTCAGCAAGAGGAACCATGAGGAACTCGATGGCAGCAGCAGCGTTTGTAGAGAAATGATAGTACTTATACCTGTATCACTAACGAGGCTTAACGATCTGCAGCTTCTCTCCAAGCCTAAATACATGTATCCTTTGTTATTTAAAGGCATACCTGTGTATTAGGCACAATACAAATTTAGTTTGGAGAAAAGCTGAATTCTTACTAAGGCTGAGGTTCAAAGGCTATTTAATATATTGGGTCAGCTGGACCGAATTTCGGTTACAGGTGAAGAAATAATTTTCAAGTTTAGTTCCTGTATTTACATGAACACTAACTTAGAATGTTTGCAGATATGAAATAGCCTCACTTAGTGATGAGGCTGCACATGGTGGAGGACACTGGCATGTTAGGCTGATTTCTGTGGAACTTTTATTTTGTATGTGACTCCTGGACTACCTCTTTTGGGACCAAGCCCAAAATTAAGCAGAATGGTTGTTCCAGCATTGTTCTGTTTGTTGATTTTTGACAGTTGTGTGACACAACTCGGTTTAACAGAAAGCTTATTACTTGATGCTTGAAATACAAAAGAATGTACAAAATATTTTTGATAAGCTTTTTAACTTGTTTAATGGGGTGAACTAATATGGTACTCAAATTATTTTTCAGTCAGTGTAGGTAAAACATCAAATTGTCTCTTACCTACCAAGACCTACCTTCTGTTCCTAAATGCAACATTAATGAGCTGGGCATGCAGTACCTTAAAATAAAATTTTACCTTTAACTTCTATAAGTATCTCCATTTCTAAAAGCTTATTAAATAAAGGGGTACAATAAGCATAGAGCCTTAAAATCTTGCAAGCTGCTACAATAGTAGGTGTTCACTTCAAAGAACCAATTAAGGACAAAAAACCCCTTGTGAATTTAGCTAAAGAGTACCTAAACATAAAAGGAAGTAATATTTAACAATATACATATTAATCTGATCACACTCCAAAGATAACGTGCTACATCAACTGAATATTGTGTTGTCCTTTAATTTAAACAGTGTTCTGAGTTCCAGATTAATTTCCTCACAGCACAAGGCTCTTTGTGTTCTCAAGGGTTTCATTTAGTCTTGTGCAGTTCTTGGTACTCGTTGTATGTTCTTGGTACTGTCACCAGTCATTTGCTGCAGGAAGTTAAAGGTCAGACCTTGCCATCCTTCCTTACATCGTGTGCCAGTGTGCTGGCAGTGCTGGTGACCTCAGCAGGGACTCTGTCCCGTGAGGCTCCTTCAGTGGGACAGAAAAATGCAAAGGCACAGCCCTGAATTAGCTGATGGTGGTATTTTGGTGCCAGAGGCTTTTCCTGGAAATTTGATTCTAATCTTACAAGTGATTTCAAGACTCCCTCTTAGCCTTTAAGAAGTGTAATGTCACCTGTCCCAGCATATTTTATTTTGCATGCCATTTCTGTTATATCAGATTGCCTATTGAGTAGTGTCTGCTGTGTAGAGAACCAGAGGTTATTTTCAGGGGTAATCACACGAGAACACATTCTCCTGTAAGGTTTGTGTTGGGAAGAAAACAGGTATATAGATAAATAACTTTTAAAAATTTAACTATTCTAAATATTTTTCTAAAATGAAATTATTTGAGACTACCTTACTAAATTAAAGTCATTGAGGTTTGCCATGCTTTTACAGATTATTACAAGTGAAATAGCATTTCAATTTTTAAAGTATATGTGAAACTTCTGCAAAACTGTACCATCATTTCTGATAAAAATGCTTTGCTTGAAACTCATTTTACATGTTTGGTTAGCCATTACCATCAGCTGATTTTTTAAAAGTTTTTTCTTTTCCAAATTTTTCTGCACTAAGGGCTGCATAGTATGAACTCAGTTTGGCCCTGCACTGAATGTTTAATTTTTTGCAGGCATTCAACAACTTCTTGAAAGATAATAATTTTCTTTCTTCTATTTTATTTATGTGCCTGCATTCTCATTCTGTCAGAGTATGGCTTTCTGTATGTGGCGCTTTTAAAATAAAATTTTATTTGAATTGTGACTAGTTCCTGAAACTTTCTGGTCTGTTTGGGTTTTATAATTACGAGGTGAGTAATCTGAAATAAGTGGGGTGAAGGTGAAGAAATACTCTGGAGTGAGTGGCTTCTTTTATTGAAATGCATATCCTGAAATGGACATTCACAGCTGCACATTTTTTACTTCTTAATAACTCTGCTTTTCTGCAAATCTGACACATTAACTGGTGACCACATTTCACAGTTTGCTGTGGAAAATCTTTCCATCCTGTGGAAAGATTTTCAGTCTACTTGGACTGAGATCTGTGTTCAAATTCCCTGTGAGGAATGGGGGATGCTATGGATGAGTGCACCAGTGGGAGTGACCTAAGGCAGTGCAGAGAACCTGTGGGTTCTGGGGTTGGAAGGAATGGAGGAGGTGGTGGGTAAGAAAGGATCTACAGCTGGAGGGACAAAACTGAAGGATCAGGAGGAAAGAAGTGTGGGTGGGGGGGAAGGGGAAGGAACACGAGGAGCAGAAAGGGCAGAAGTGGAGGAATATGGGGTGAGTAAATCAGTGGTGTGGTCTCTGATTGATCCCTCCCAACCAATGGGTGTCAGCACCTGTTCAGTCACACAGCAGTTAACTGTAAAGTTGTTTGCTTTGGAAAAAAGCAGAAAAAACTTGAACCACCATTCCCTACAACGTTGCTGATGTGTCTGTTGTGGTCTCTACTTGCAGTTAAACTGTGCACTCTAGCACATTTCCAATAAATGTCAATAAATGCTAAGTAAACCTAAGCACCCATTTTCTAGTAACTGCAACCTTTTCAAGCCACTGACCCTGACAGATGGTTCAAAGGGAAGGTCAGCAGTCTGTGCAGGTTCACGTTTATGGAAGAATTGAAGAGTGCAGATAAAGAGCCCTTGTGTGGAAGCACTGAGTCACTTCAGAATCCTTCCCTTTCTGAACATGAAGGTTTTTCTTTTACTTGCACAGGACCTGTTATTTTCTTTCTTCAATAACTGGACAGCTTTGCTTTATTTGTTGCTCTAGAACTAAATTATTCTAAAGGTAAGTTTACGTGTTACAACTGAGCTGAGCTAATTGCTTACCTTCATAAAAGGAGACAATGCTGTGTTTGCCATCCCTCTTGCCTGGCTGTGCTGTCCTACTTCTTCCCTTGGTCTTCACAGCCTTTGTTGACCCAAGTCAGCTTGTTGAGCCAAAAAAACGTGACCATGAGAAGTGCTACAGTCTTTGTGCAGCCACCAGCAAGCACGGTGAGATGCTGAAAGAGGAGAAATGTAGGAAGCTATTGGGTGGGCTGAAATTATATTGCCTCTGCAATGTGTATTACAATAATTTCATATTGCATCTACTAGGGAGAGTATTTGATGTTATTTTAACAGTAAAAATTATAGCTCTGTAACAGTATCATTGTTAACTTAAGTCTTCCTTCTCAGACATGTATATTACAAAAAGTTCAGCACACAATGGCTTTTACGCATTTTCTCCAGAACAGTCTGACAGTCCTTTAATCAAAAAGTTTAAAAACAATGAACGAAAAAAATAGTATCAGCTAGATAATATACATATAGTCCAGCTGAATATATCAGCTAGAATAGAATGTAATGACCAACATATGTGGTATTTTCCTAATCACATACCCCATCCTTTTAACACCAAATTAAATGAAACAATTGCCCTTGCTGTGAACTTTGATGTGCCTAGAGCCTGTTCAACTTGTAGACGCCTTGCTAAGAAGTTTGTTTTCTAATATGGCAAGTAGCAACATTTGAGTGAGTTCTTGTCAACAGTTTTTTGGGGGACCATTAATGTCACCTGGGTGGTTTTTAAACTTTTTTTCAATGGTAGCATCAACTGTGGACAAAATGTCTTACGTTATCATGCTATTCTGTCATAACCACATTTAAAAAGTAGCATAGCCAACACAAGTCAATAAACACATTAAAAGAGGAAGTAATGGACAAGATTCTTAAAACTTGAGTGTACCTGAATTCTGCTCTGCAGATCCTGGGTCCCTCCACAGGCTATTTATGCCAGATTTTGTAGAATGGACAGCTGAGAACTTGGATGACACTGCGAAATTACTTTTGCTTTGAATCCAGGTGTCCAAAAGTTAAAAAATAATATCTTCATCTGCTTCATCAACTAACCTCCAAAATATTGTCCTGTTGTAGGAAACAGCACAGAACTGCAACTTTACCTTAAGATTAGAGCTGATTTTAGGGTATGTTTTCTGCTGCTGCTCTGTGCAGAGTGCTGTGCTTGGCCAGGAGATTTACCAGGAGATGACCCGCATTGTCATCAGCATGGCATGAATTCCAGTGGCTGTGGAGCAGATTAGGGTCAGCAGCAGAGAGAACAGCAGAGCTTTAGCAGCACAGCCCAGTATGGCTTACCCAGGCAGAGAAAGAAGATAAACCCACAGCTACCCAAGGTAGGAAACGTTATTACTGACCGGTACATTTTATACAATGGTGACCATAATTCCATGTTTCTTCACAGTGTTGTTTCATAGGAAAAAGTGCAATAGGGGTGTCTTTTTCAATGAAGACAGAGGGAACACAGTGAAGAGATTATGGAATTTATAGTCTGTTGGACACCGGCTTTTTGTTGTACTGTAATTTGCCTTTTGTTTAAATATTTGTTCTCCCCTATAAAATGCACTTGAGAAACTTCTGAGATTAAAGATAGTCACAAAATTATAGTGGTTTTAGATAGCAAGGGATTTTTAAGGGCTTAATTATTTTTATGTTTTATTGAGAATACAGGGCAGCAAGCAAACTTGTAATTTCATCATAAACTATGCATGTTTAGAAAAAATCATTTGGTTTGCCTGTTGATCTGTAAACATCGTACTCTTGAAAGAATTGCAACATTTTTGCAGGAGCTGTAAAATTACAGAAGCATTATCAATAAATATTAAATGTACTCAAGAACTTTTTGGGGCCTCATCTTTGGTACCTAAGCTGCATTTTTTTTTTTTTTTTAAGTTTGGTAATTTTAATGTTTGCATAGTAAGACAGGGTTCAACTTCAGCCCCTGTTCAGCAGACACCTGCTCCAGTTAAGAGGTGACCTCGGTGGGAGTGCAGCCGTGGTGATTATGTTAAATCCATTACCCACGCATCTGGACACTGCTTGTGTAATAACAGGGGCAGAGCTGGGCTGTGTTCACCTGAGAAGCTGCAGCTTTCTGAGGGAGCACTTTGTTGGGCCATAAAATATGGCTGTGATGACTGAGAAACTTCCTGTGCTTTCCTGTGCCCACAGAGACACAGAGACACCAGCGGGTTTCAGCTCCGCTTTGCAGCACAGTCTGGAGATGAGAGAAAGCAGCTGTGGATCAGCCTCTTGACCTACTCATACTATAATTAGATGCACCTTTATGAACTGAAATATAAGCTGTTCCCTTTTTAATCGTATGTCTGTCTTCCATCACAGTTTCTCTTTAGGATATTTTTATTAAACAAATCAAAAATTACTGTTATTGCACCGGTTTTATGTCCAGATTTATTTTCATAAAATCAAAGTAACAAAATAAGACCTCTTTTTATCTGAAAAATAAGAAGACCTAGAAATGTGTGTCTCTTGGACACAGAATCAGTTTAGCATACTGCTGGCTTCCAAAAACAATCCTGCACATGCTGTGCAGAAAAATACTGTTTTCTTTGCCAGTTTTGTTACAATCATCATTTTTTTAGTTGATGTTATGAATCAAAAGGAAATAATCCCTCATATCTTTATAGTCAGAGGCCCAGTTTGACTTGCTGCCCTTTATAACTGTGTATTTGTTTAAAATCTCTCTCCACAGCCAGTAAGCAGCCTCAGATCTGATTATCCATCCATTATTATGGTATTTGGAAAAGAAAAGCTAAAGTGTTTTAATTTCCATTCTATTACATAACTATTATTTTATTCCAGACCTTCAGGACAGGGAGATGGCATTTGACAGGAGGATATTCTTTGTCAGGCTGTCAAAGATGCTAAAATCTGATTGAAGAAGAACATTTGCTCCTGCCCTGGTTCCCTGGGAAGGAGCAGTGCTCTCAGTAAGTCTCTGAGCTCTTATTACTGGAGCTTTTCTGCACCAAAAGAGAAACCACTAAGAGACCTAACTAAGCACACAGTTTAAATCTTTATTTTTAAAATAAAATCATTTGGGGTCATGCTGTCTCTTTGTTTTGTTTTGGTGTGTTAAGAGACCTTTAGTTTAAAATACTCCTGATTTAACAGCAGTCATGTTCCTTGGCTTTTCAGTATCATCTCTTCAACATACCTGGACCTACTTGGTCTCACTTTTTTGGCCTCCCTGGACCCCTTCAGTGTCAAGACTTCAGCCTCCTGGGAACTCTTTAAAATCCCCTTTTCAGATTCTTTGGATTTATCCAGTCTGAGCTCTTCATCCTCTGTTGAGTTCTCCAGTCTCACTTCATCGTCTCTGGACCTTTCAAGTCTCCCATCTTCAGCCTCCTCAGATTTCTCCAGTATCTCCTCTTCAATCTCGTTAGAGCTCTCCAGTCTCACCTCTTCAGATTCCTGGGAGCGCTCCAGTTTCTCCTCTTCCATTTCACTGGACCTATCAAGTCTCACTTCATCAGGCTCTCTGGATCAATCTGGTGACAGTTCTTCCATCTCCTTAGATCTCTCAAGTGTCACCTCTATATCCTCCACAGATTTCTCCAGTCCTACTACTTCACTCTCTCTAGACCTCTCCACTCATACGTCTTCGTCCTCCACAGATGTTTCCAGTCACACCTCCTCAGCTTCCTTGAACTTTTCCTGTACAATCCCTCCATCCTCACCAGGCATCTCAGAGAACAGCTCCTCGACCTCTTCAGAGTCACTAGACCTCACTGATTTTAACTATTTCCTGTTTCAGCGCTCCTCTGAATTGTCCTCATCGACCTCTCAGGATGTTTCCAATCTCATCTCCACACCCTTTCTGGATGTCTCCAATCTCACCTTTCAGGATGCTTCTTCCCTCACTTCCCCAGTTTCTATGGACATGTCTAATCTCACACCCTTAGTTCCCCCAGACCTATCCACGCTCACATTCCTGGATGTTGCTAATCGCAACGCTTCAGCTTCCCTTGATCTCTGCATCTAACCCCCTAACACATCCCCTCTCCCTGCAACCTCTCTCTGTCTTTCTGAACTCTCCTCCTTTATGTGCTCTCTCCTAAGTTCTCTCTCTGAAAATTCCTACCTGAGGAAATTTTAGGGCTTTCCAAACATCTCCTGGCATCTGAACAGAACTGGGCATGGAAACAGGTCGTACAGATCTATACTGGTGCCTTGTAACAGCTGCATAAACACCAATATATAGTCTGGATTTTTTGTAGAGAGTACAGTTTCTGTCCCTGATCTGATTTCCAGTCTGCCTCAGCATGGCTGGTACCACTCCCAAAGGTTAAACTTTTTCAATTCATGCCGAATTTTTATCTGTCAGGACCAACAAACAGTAAATAGAGCTGAATGTGCAAATAATTGCATATCTCCATTATGGATTAGTCATATATCTCCATTATGGATTTAAATCTGACTTAATTTCACAGAATTGCAGGTAGAGGCATTTCACAGAGAGATACAGACAGAGAAGATAATTGTGGAGAAAAAAGCAGATGAGAGACAGGAGGTAGGGAGAGGACTCAGAGAAGGTGTGGGGCAGGAACAGAGGGACACGGAGCTGGAAGAAAAATGTCCAACACTGCTATTTTGGCCCGGGGTGCCCATGAGGCTTAAAATAATCTTACTGCTAATTATTTTACCTATCAAATCATCAGATGTTGCCATTAAAGCAGCATTTATATGTAACATCCCCTTTATCAGCATATGTAAGTACTGCAGTTACCTGTCTTGCATCCAGTGTGCTGCTTAGGTAGCAGAGAGCGGCTTCCCTTTGGTGCTGTCTTGTATCTTTTTGTTGTCACTGCTGTAGTTGGGGTTTAGAAACCAAAATATGTTCCCTTTCAATATCATCACACTGGCACCTTTCTGGACTAAAAAGGCAGAAACATATTTGCCATAGCAAGTATTTTTTCATTGATTTAATTTTTGCAAGTTGGAAAACTTTGTTCCAATATGCCATGTCTGTCTCAAAATTAGGATAATTATGACTCATACAAAAATAAATAAGGAAATAAGTGCATGAAATAAAAATTATTTTCTGCCTCCTTTACACTAGTTGTTTCTTTAAAATTAAGTATGAACACTTGCAAGACATGAATTTAAGAAATTAACCCCAAATTCAGTAGGAGCAGATATGTTTAGCAGTTTAAAAAAACCCAAAAATCACAGGTTATTGGTCCAGATCTTACTGTCATATGCTGTCCTGCAGAAAGACTGGAAGATATTTGGTGAAGAGTTGTTCTTTTTATTCTGGTAACTCTGTCCTGACCATGTGTGGTTTGTTTATTGCAATGGTTCTGGACTAAATGAGATCTCTTAATAAAGTTGAAAGTTACCCTGTGCTTTAAAAATGGTTTGTCTCTGGACCGAAGGAAGCAAGAGAAGAGGTATGCAAAAGTGCAAGGATTTATTAAAAACCCAAGTCCTTAAGTCCTTAATTATTTAAATGAACATTAGGTTAGGACCAAATTGATCCTTATCAAACATCATTAGAGTCTTGTAATAACTTTTTGCTTATCATATATGGAAAATTGTCTATTTTTCCATTGTGTCAACAGCTGACAATAGCTTCTAGTTTGCTATGTCATCTTTTATGGATTTGTTTAGAGCAAATGACTGGATACGATTTCAGCTGTTTGCAGTCTTACATCCAGAGGAACCCCACGGCAAGGCACCGTGTCCAAAGGGGTAAAAAAACCTACAAATTGAAGCTAGTCTGCTTAAAAAAAAAAAAATCAACATTGGCTCCACATGCCTGTAAATCGTTTTCTTTTAGCATTCCATCTAGAAATGGCACAGAGGGGTAAGTAATGACAACTGATTTAAGCTGCACAAAACATCCCTTTAACCACTTGCTTGGATTCTTAGATTTCAACGGGACTGCTGAGGAACGAGTTAATGTGTAACTAACATAAGCGCTGGATAACTAGCCATTTGCCTCACAGAAGACTTGTGCTTTAATTTCTGTCCTTTAGTTAACTGACGTGTGCTGTGTTTCTGGCGAATTACCGTCCCTGAACCACGGAACCCCACATATTCACTCCCGTGATTCTGGACAACGAGGCCACACCTGGAGGCGAAGCCGGGACCTTCCCAAACCGGGATGCCCACACGCCTTTCCCAGGCAGCTTTACCGGGCTGAGCTGTGAGACTTGAGGGCGACACCGCCATGGCCACACCCACATCCCCCTCAGGCCCACGGGTCCGCCCGGCCCGAGGAGAAGGGGCGGGGCGCCCCGGGCGGAAAGGGCGGGAGTCGAGCGCCGCGGACGGGCCCTCTGATTGGCCAACTGAGGGGCGCGGGGGCGGTCCCCTCGCGCTGATTGGCCGGCGGGCCCGTCCCGGCGGCGCGCACTGACCTTGCCTAGAGGAGCCGCAGCCATGGTGGCGTATTGGCGACAGGCCGGGCTCAGGTACCGCTGAGGGGTGTGGGGGCGAGGGGCTGCCGGGGAGAGCTGTCAGCGCCGGGCAGGGAGGGCTGGCGCGGTCACAGCGGTGCCGCTGCGCGGGGAAAAGCGGGTTTGGGGACAGGGGAAAGGCGGCTTTGGGGCCGGGGGGATGCGGGTTTGGGGACAGGGGAAAGGAGGGCTCGGGTCTGACCCCGCTCTGTCCCCTCATCCCCAGTTACATCCGGTACTCGCAGATCTGCGCCCAGGCCGTGCGGGCCGCCATGAAGCCGCAGTACAAAGCGGAGGCGGAGAGGGCGGCGGTGGCCACGGTGAAAACGGTGAAGCCCAAAAAGGAGTGAAATGTGAGTGGGTGAGGCGGGCCGGGTGCGTGGTTGGAGCTTTGTCGTGCGGGAGAGTGATGGTCTGTCACTGCTGAGTACATTAGTCCCCGCTGTTTGGGGAGAATGAGCTCCGACCTTCAGGCACGGAACTGAGGGGGTTGGGACTGTCAGTGTCCTGATTACGTGTGGGGTGAGAAACAGCTTAATCGCATTAGTGCAGTGGAGTGAGGTGTTCTGTCCAGCAAGCCCTGCTTTTGGGGGTTTGGTCAGGCTTTTTATGGGCTCACACAGAACAGCTGGGGCTCTGTAGTGATGCCCGCAGGTTTCCATAGTGATGTGCACTGGTCTGTAGTGATGTTCAACTTTCATATTTCCTAAGCCAGCAGACAACCTCTCTGAACTGCTGTTTCCCCTTCCCCTGATGAGCTGGCTTTTAAGTTGTCTGTTGTTGGTGAAAGACAGATGGTACTTGTACCTTTATTCATGGCATTGCATAAATCACAAGCAGCTGAAGTGTCTTCTGTTCTGAATAGAACAGCTTCTGTTCCTGATCCGAAATTAAATATTATTACCTTTTGTTTCTCGTGTACCTTATACATATTCTTGATTCAAATAACTTGAATGACTTTATATATACTCTCGTAGGAACTGATCTGCGGTGAATAACAGCAAACTGCAGAGCTGTAGGAAAGCTCAAGACTCTGCAGCCTGATGTCATCACATCAACTGTAAAACTTGCCTCTGTATGTAAATCAGTATGCTAATAAATGTAATGGCTGAATGTGTGCAATGTGTCATTCCTCTTGAAACAAAGTTCTCCATTTTGCAGAGACATTTATTTTTCACTTACGTTAAAATAAAAGACTGGTTTTATCACAGTCTAACATTCAGCAGCAACAGCTGTTTATTCTTAAGGCAAATCTCTTGTTGGGTTTCATGCCGATATTTCAGGTACATAAATGACTGAGAGATTTAATTGTTTAAAACTTTTCTGCCTGCTACATTTTAATTATTGGTTTGGAAAAAAGTTTTCTTCCGTAAAATCTCTGTCAGCAGAGAATATAGTGATATAATTTCAGTGATTAAAAGGACCTCTGATGGCTGTATCTGATGGAAGAGGTACACTGTTGGCTTTGAGGGAGGGACATCCCAGTCCCAGTAGGGATGGAGGGTGACACTCCACCTGCTCTTGGCTATGGGGCAAAGTTATCCTTTCATGTGGTTTGGGGGAAGTGTTGGCATGTTCCTGCTGTGTGTCTTCACATTGTCCCACTGCAGAGGAGGAACTGCAGCTTAGAATGGGATTCAGGGTCATTCCCTTACACTGAGCTCAAACATGAAGCATTACTCTTCAGAGTACAATAAACTTTCACTTCCAAGAGTATAATAAAACAAGCTCCCATTTTTTCCTGTAATTCAAAGTTAGTCCTTGCAAGAATAATTTTTTTTTTTTCTGTCAAATGTTTCAAGTATAAAAAGTATCTTACAGAATGGTATATATTTTTTATTAAGAGAATAATAAGAAGGCTGTGGCAAGAACCTTTTTTTCCTGAAGGCAAAATATAGTTTTGATTTAGTGATTGCCCTGGAACTTACATCTAACAAGCTACAAACCATTCTATCCTTTTTGTTGTTCTGAATGTTAGGGAAAAATTTACAGTAGTTAGTACACAGGATTAAAAAAATACCACACCAAAACTTTTACACAGTGTCACAACTTTGTGTGCTAATGTAACTCAACCTATAGTTTAAAACAGAAATAAACCACACCAGGATAATGAATACAAGCTCTGCAATAATATAAGCCAGCAATGTGAAAGAACTATTAAAAGTACTTAAAAAAAATAGAAAGAATGTACATATTCAGTCTTTTTGCCCCATCTTGTTTCTTCTGCCCTCCCCCTGCAACTCAAGTTGCTGAACTTGTCTGCAGGTCTACATCAGTTTGTGGAGTGATAATAAAACAGACACTGCCTTTCCAGACCTTAGAGATATGCACGTATTCCTAAAACAGTTACAAGTTCCCAATCAAAACAGGCACTGTGTTTACCTGAGAATAAATAAATGTGCTGAGGTGACAGCGTATTTTGCTGTTGCTTATAATCCTGATATATATGTACACAGGCACAGTGGCTGTATAGTACATTCAGTATCTGGTGATTATATACTAAAAGTGAATACATTTACAAGACAGGCTGTTATGAGACAACCTGTCTCCTTTTTGGGAGCGATTCAGTGTCAACAGTTGCTTAGGAGAGTAAAGCAGAGCTGCCATTAATTTCAAAAGCACTGTGTTGTAAAATTGGAGCTATTTGGCAGATGCAGAGAAAAGTTCTGAAGAAATGTCTAATTTTTGGCTACTGCTTTGTCTTTAGTGAATGTCAACAGACTTATTCAGAGTGTTTTGATATTGTTTTTACGCTGCTTCCTTTTCTGGGCTCGCTTCCACTTCCACCTCTTCGAATTCCTCCACATCTGCAGTGGCATCCTGGTACTGCTGGTACTCGGACACGAGGTCATTGGTGTTGCCTTCTGCTTCAGAAAACTCCATTTCATCCATACCTTCCCCAGTGTACCAATGGAGAAAAGCTTTCCTCCTGAACATGGCTGAGAACTGTTCGGAGACGCGGATGAAGAGCTCCTGGATGGCCGTGTTGTTGCCGATGAAGGTCGCTGCCATCTTCAGGCCTCGCGGGGGGATGTCACACACGGCCACCTTGACATTATTGGGGATCCACTCCACGAAGTAGGAGCTGTTCTTGGTCTGCACAGACAGCAACTGCTCATCCACCTCCCTGGTGGACATCCTGCCCCTGAAGATGCAGGCCACGGTCAGGTAGCGCCCGCGGCGAGGGTCGCACGCTGCCATCATGTTGCGTGCGTCGAACATCTGCTGCGTGAGCTCTGGCACGGTGAGGGCTCTGTACATCTGGCTCCCCCGAGCTGTCAGTGGGGCAAAGCCTGGCATGAAGAAGTGCAGGCGAGGGAAGGGCACCATGTTAACAGCCAGCTTCCGCAGGTCCGCGTTCAGCTGGCCGGGGAAGCGGAGCGAGGTGGTGACGCCGCTCATCGTTAGGGACACCAAGTGGTTGAGGTCACCGTAGGTGGGATTGGTGAGCTTTAAAGTTCTGAAGCATATGTCATATAGAGCTTCATTATCAATGCAAAAGGTTTCATCTGTGTTCTCTATGAGCTGGTGGATGGAGAGGATGGCGTTGTATGGCTCCACGACTGTGTCGGACACTTTGGGTGAAGGCACAACACTGAAGGTGTTCATAATCCTGTCGGGGTATTCCTCCCTGATTTTGTTGATGAGAAGCGTGCCCATACCTGAGCCTGTACCACCACCAAGAGAATGGATCAGCTGGAACCCCTGAAGGCAGTCGCAGCTCTCACACTCGTTCCTGACCACATCCATGACGTTCTCAATCAGTTCAGCACCTTCTGTGTAATGGCCTTTGGCCCAGTTGTTTCCAGCACCTGAATTACCTGTAAACAAAATTACAGAAAGAACAGCCACAAAGTTAACAAGAGACTTTTTAAAGGCTACAACAAAAGTAGATCAAAGCCCATTTTGGGCCAGTTGACTCCAGTTAGTTTGCTGGCAGCATGATGTACATACCATGAATAAAGTTGTCCGGTCGGAAGAGGGGGCCTATTTTGCTGGACCGTACACTGTCCATCGTACCAGGCTCCAGGTCCACCAGGATGGAACGGGGCACGAATTTATGGGCTGGAACAACACAAAATGAATGCAAATGATTGCTGTTAGAGGTCAGAGACAGCCTTATGATCTGCTCTGAAAAGTCCAATCCACCTATAGTGGTTTAGGTTTTTTTGAGGGGTTTTTAATTAAAAATTGCTCTGCCAACACCTGACAGTGCTGAGCACTCACAGAAAGCCTCATTGAAGTACACGTTAATCCGCTCCAGCTGCAGGGGTGAATCCCCACGGTAGTTTCCGGTGATGTCAATCCCATGTTCATCACCAAGGACCTCCCAGAACTGGAAAAGGAATGATGTACAACACACTTAACAAAGATTGCTTTATTTTCAGCACACTCTCCTGCTGCTCTCGTGCTGCTCTCATCCCTGATGGGAACTGTGCCTGAAGCAGGGGATGTTTTGCCATTTATTTATTAGATCAGAGCTGGGATCCTCCTCTCCTCCTCCCCAAATAAGTTCAAGAGAAAAGTTTAGTAGGCTATTTATACTGCTTAGCTATCACCCATGCACTAATAGGTGGAGGCCCTCAATTTGTTCTCTTTATAGTAAAAAAAAAAAACATAAAATAGTGTAAATAACACAGGTAGTAGTTGGTATGAGCTTAATAAAGAGAGTCATGGAGGTGGATTGTGGAGGGTTGTTTTGAGCCCTGTCATGCACAAGTGTGACTGCAGCATGGCAAAGCTGCACAGGCAAACTTGTACGTGAGCAAGGCTTTCCACAAACAGCTGCTGGTCCTAAATGTCCTATCTTGACGCTCATATGTCTTGTGCTGGGGCTCTTATCTGGAGAGCAGCCACAGCAGTGCTCATGTAGACACACCCACCCACTGTAATGACCAGGCTACTTTAATATTAAGGGTCTGCTGGGTCAGCATCCAGTCTCGTTTTGAGTGTCCAGATACATCATTTCCAACATGTGCATGGGGGGTGTGTTCTTTTCTACAGGTCTTAATAGACCTAAGCAGTTTGCAGGTCAAAGCCAACAAAAAAACCACCTTTCACCTCTCACACTGGCTGCATTCAAACTAGCTGGGTCTAACATGACATTCCCTGGCCATCCACAGCTTCATGTTCCATTAAAAGAAATCAAGGTGAGATTTGTGGGAGCAAGAAATGGAGGAAGAACACTACAGAGCAATCCCTGATAATTTTTTTACTACTTCCTACTCATAAATAAATAAAAAGATGAACATCACAGATCAGAAGCAATGGTGATTTTTTTTTTCTCCTAGCATAGAAAGTCAGCAATAGTGACTTCTCTCTAAGTAACAGCATTGGAGTGTTTGAGCTACACAAAAATGCTCCAAATTACTTCTGCCTGTCACAGGAGGCCACTTTGTGTCACTCTCATAAAAAACTAACTGGTCACTGATAGCACAGGTCATCCTGTTGATTAATAAGATCCCATATGATCCGTAAGGACCCTTCCAACCCAAAGCATTCTATGATATTAATAAATATAATGTGGCAGTTACTGCTGCATGGCTGAGCTAAAGTACTGGAATCACAACTTTGCAGCCCTTGAATTACTGGCTCCACCAGACTAGATTAGTTCCCTTGGGAATATAAGTCCCAGAAGGAATGCTCTGGAGCACCTGTAATCACTGTGCCATGGTTATTGCAGATGAACATTAAGCTTTGCATGAGGAGCAAGCCCATCTTTTGCCTTTCACACCAAATACTCATCTTCCCTGCTAGCATGCCACTGAATTCCCAAAAGTCCCCATGGTCGGGGATGATGTTTGATGGCGTTTGACCCATTACCACTGACTGAGGAGCAATGTTGAAAGGAGACCTTACCTTGGCTCCAATTTGGTTCCCGCATTGCCCAATCTGAAGATGCACAATTTCACGCATTTTGTGGAGCTCGGACCTGCTGGTGGCCACAACCTCTCACAGGTTCTCCAGTTGCAGTCCCCAGAACAAGCCCTCTTTCTGCTGCACTATCAGCTACACCCAGCACAGCCCATCCCAAGGGGCCTTTTTATATCAGAAGGACTGTCACTCAGCCAGAAGGGGAGTAGCCAACTCCTCAGGCTGCTCAGCATTTCACAAGGAGGCAAAATGCCTGTTTACTGCCTGGGGACAAAAAGCACAGGTGCTTTTCTGAGTGCCTTGGAAAGGAATATTGTCACATGCACCCCCTCACAATTAATTCCAGATCTCTGCAGCAGTGTGATGCATGCAATTATGTGCACATTCTATTTGTGTTTCATTATTTGATGTTACACGCAATATATATACAAATATATGTGCATATATAGATATTACAGCCAAAAATGAGTGATCTTCATTTATTAAGCACATGCGCTTCTGCCACATAATTTAAATTTTAGCATCATATGAGTCATACAGGACACCACCCATATTTAAACCAGTGTGAGCAGTAGCTTCCTATAACTACAACATTCAGCACATTGCCAGGCAAAATCAAGTTCACTAATAGTCATCATTCCCAGTGTCTGACTGCATGAAGGAAGGGGACAGGATCAGGACCAAAAAATATTTTGTAACACATAAATGTAAGACTGCACTCTCAGTGATGCTTGTTCCTTAAACAATTATGAGTATCCCTCAATTTCAGCCAAAATCTGAATTAACTTGTGACTAACTTGCATAGGTGCTCTCTCTCTTAATTTTCTGTCATTAAGCATTTCTAATATTTCTTATTTTCTTATGTCTGAGATGTGCTTCAGAACTTGCCAGGAAAATGCTAGAGGTGAACCCCCAGTTCCACTGAAGTTCACTGAAGTGAACTATAATGTTCAAAAGGAAACAATGCGAGGGGGAGCAGAACACGACCCAGTCATGTTGCCCGCTGATAACCAGGACCAGTATCACTGAGCAGCAGAAACCCCAGAATGGACTGTCTGCTGGAACTTGGAGCAGTTTCATTACATGTCAAATGACTGTCACTGCTTTGCAAATGTTCCTTTTAAGGATGGCAAAAGGAACTATAATTAGGAAAGCACCTCAAATTATTTTATATAAAATGGTGACAGTGGAAGGACTTGACTCATTAAAAGTTACTACTTTACCACTCTGTGGGTTGCTAGAGATAAGGAACCTCTGCGCTTCCATATTGTTTCAAAAGAAAAATCAGCTTATTCCAGACTTCCCCCCCACCCTATATGACTTCCACTTCTCCCACCAGCCAATGAAGGAACAGACAAGGGCTCCTAAGACAGAGTTTAGCACCTAAAGTGCATTGCAAAAGAGTAGCGAGCAAACATTTGTCATCCTCTGCCAAGCTATGAGTATCCACAGTAGGAAGCAACAAAAGCAAGACTCAGTTCAGGTAGATTAGTTTTGTTTCCTTAGAACACAATTATTTTATCATATTCCAGAAGATAAATATTCTCTAAGCCATTTAGTTTACTCAGCAAGATAACCAAACCATTCTGTTCCATCTCCACATTGTCAATATATCCCACAATGGCAGTGGGTATCTTCTAAAATTTCCTAAGAAAATTCTCGAAAGGTTATTTGGACATTTACTTTGAAAGCAAATCTCATTTTATTCATGCACATATTTGTTTTCTCCAATGATCTTTAGCTAAAAGTAGTTGTGCAACTCTGAGCTGTGTATTCAGTTGCTGCATTCTGGATGGGAGCTGCATCGACACCACGCATCAGAGACCTGCTCACACTAAATAAATACTACTCAAAATATGCAATGTATTCATCTACAATAGACACAGCTTACGGAGAGGCTGAAGATGCTAATTCACTGTCCAAAAAGTTTGGCAAAATAATTTCTGCAATAAATACACTGGCTGAGCACATCTACAAGGAAAGGGAAAAAAGGGAAGTGGAAGAAATTTGCAATCACTTGATATGGGTTTTTCTCTTGCCAGAAATAGCTCCCTGAAATCATGTGCCTCCTCTGAAGCACTTCCATATAGAGTCTAAAAAATTATGGCACACAACACCAAGTACCTGGGATGGTTGGTGAAGTGGATGTGGGTTTGGGGCTCTTTTGCCCCTTCTCCCCAACTGCTTTTCTGTGAACCTCCAAGCCTGGCTTTACCCAGATGTGGTCTGTGAGGAGCCTGTTTCTCTGTAGATCTTGTTGCAGGCCTGTCACTCCTCAGCCCTGGGTTAACAAGCCTGTTAACTCCCAATGCACTTCCCAGGCCCAGCCACCACACATGTGCTGCTGCAGATTAGCGGGGGAGCGTCCGCCGGGCCGGAGGGAACGTGGATGGGCTGGCTCCAGGGACTTTTGGCACTGTGGAGATTAGGAGCAGCCTGGCACTGGGCACAGCCTGGCCCACAGTGTCTATTATCAGGCTGCCAACTGCTTCCATTGCCTTCAGAGCAGGCCCCAGATCCCACAGCCCTGGCCGTGGCCTTAAGCTGAGACCACAAACAAGCCAGGTTTTTGTGGTTGCTGGGCTTTTTTGTTGTTGTTTCTGATTTTTTTTGATTGTTTTGTTGTTTCTTTTTTTTTTTAAGGCTGCCCACTAGCAACAAATATGCCTGTGCAGGAAGGCATTCTGGGATACCTTTTGTGTTTTAAATATGGTTTGCTTGGGAGGAACTGGCTTTTCAGAGTAACCAAGAAGATTGTTGAGAAGAAAGCCTATTCAATTTGAGATAGGCCTGGCTACAGGACACCAGATAATTTTAAAGAGATCTGTGACTGGCTAGCAGATGAGCTGATGCAAGTCTCAACTAACCTGGGCTGCCTGCATCAACCTTAGGAATGATACCAAAAAACCATGGCATTCAACAGGAATAAAAAGCACTTCACATTTACATTTCAGTTAGTAAGTAAAACTATTTAACCTGCCTTGCTCTGGCAGGTGGTCCAAGGAAATAAGGCAGGACTGCCCACTGTAAAGCATCATCAGTGTAATGAGCCCATGTGATTAAACAAATAGCTTTTGGTACAACCACAGTGGAAGACTGAGCAGTTCATTACCTTCCTCACACTGCAGATCTATGACCTGGCAAAAACGTGGGGCTTCAGCATGTGAATTCACCTGCTGCACAGTGCCTTTTGCAGGAAAATCAGAAAACTGCTTTTACTGTTGACTAAATCTTGTAACAGATAACAAAGAATCTTCAGATGTCCTGAGCCCTAAAGAACAGCCTCAAAATTGCAGCCTCAGTAAACCGTAGCATTAAAGGGCTTGAAGAATTCAGAACGCATGACTAAGAAAAAAACCACAACTAAACAAAAAACCCAGCCTGCTCTCTGCAGTGTCACAGTTGCTGGTCACAGTCTGGCACAATGCTGAGGTGTTAGGCCAAAGGTAAAGGAACCTATAAGCCTGTCCCAGATACGAGTCCTCTTGTCACAACCCCTGTGACCAAGTTGCTTCACTTTTGAGCGCGTGAGCTGGAGACTTCCCTGGGGGGGCTGGGAACGAGGGGTCTCGGGTTTGTTCCTCATCCCGACAGATCAATCAGCCGCCCTTGGGAAGGGCTCAGGGAGGGTGCCCTGGGCATCCTGGAGCGCACCTTCTCCCTGGGAGGGGGCGATACCCGCGGACCGAGGACCCGAGGGAGGGTCCGCGGACCGAGGACCCGAGGGAGGGTTCACGGCCCTCGGCCCCCGCAGGTGAGCGCGCCCGACCCCGGCCCGGCCCCGCCCCAGCCCCGCCCTGTCCTCCGGCCCCTCCCCTGAATCCCGGTGCCAGCGCGTGTCCCAGGAAGCTGCCGCTGACCCAGCATGGCCACGCGAGTCCAGCCGCTCCTGCCCGTCCTGTTGCTGCTCTGGGGGAGCTGCCTGTGCCCGCCCGCCCGCGCCGGGCTCTACTTCAGGGAGGGGCAGCACTGCTACAAACCAGCCCCGCGCAAGGCTCCCGGGCTCAGGTGAGCTTCGTTCCCCCGTTCCCCCGTTCCCCCCGGGGCTGGGGCAGCCCTCCGGCTACCCCCTGGAGCTGGAGCTGCCCCCCGGCCACCCCCTGGAGCTGGAGCTGCCCCCCGGCCACCCCCGGGAGCTGGGGCTGCCCCCCGTCCCCTCTGGAGCCGCCCCCATCCAGCCTCTCCTGGGAGAGCAGCCCGGGGGAAGGGCTGGCCGGGCGCAGCCGCAGCTCATGGAGCCCCAGCACCGCCCGGGTCGGGGGGTCCCCGGCGGTGCGGGGGGTCCCCGGGGCCGCTCTGTCCCCGCCGGGGTTGGCCGGGGGGGACACACGGGGACAGTGCCGGTCACGAGACCGCGGGGCAGGGCCCGGTCACGCGCTCCCGCCGGGCACTCGTTACGAAACTCCGCGGAATCCGCGATTTTTAAAAGAAACCCAGCCCCCTCACCTGGCCGGGGATGCCGGCGCTGTAGTTCCTCTTCCCTCCCCGCCGCAGGACGTACCCCCGCCCGCACGAGTACCTGGAGGTGTCGGCGCTGCCGCGGAGCTGGGACTGGAGGAACGTGGATGGAGTGAACTACGCGAGCACCACTCGGAACCAGCACATCCCGCAGTACTGCGGGTCCTGCTGGGCCCACGGCAGCACCAGCGCCCTGGCAGGTACGCCCTGCACCCCCCGCCCACCCGCCGGGCTGCCCGCGCCCCGGAATCCGTGGTTTTCGGAGGCCAGGGCAGCTTATCTTCACCTTACTGGCAGCTGGTGTAAGGACGAGGTGCCAAGTCACTGCAGCAAAAAACGGGGCCGAGATGTCTGTGAATACACCGGGAACAGTGGGAATGCCCAGGCTGAAGGGAAGGAGGTTTGGTTTCTGTAGGGAAAGCAAGTGGAGCGAGGCTGTCCCCACCCTCTCCAAACGGTGCGAGGGGGAGCACTGGCATGCTTAGAAACCTGTTTGCAGAAGGAATGTGTTCACAGCTCCTGCGGGTAAGAACTGGGGGTTCTGCCCTCTGCTCCGTGGCAGCAGCAGATGCACAAGCAGTTCTTGTGTCTCCCTCCCTTTTGTGGTACCTCAGCCTGTGCTGCAGCTGCAGAACAAGAAGTGCTCCAGCCGTGCCTGGGAATGAGGAAACGAAAGAAGTTGCCTCTTGTGGGACGGGCCCGAGGGGTATTTGCTTCAGGAGCCCGATTATTCAAACAAACTATCACAGCACACAGACAATCTGGTTTCAGCAGCAATCTTCGTATCAAACTTCTGCTTAGGAAAAGGGAAGTAGTGGTTTGCTACAGATGAAGTAAATTCTCTAGAGAGAACACATGATTTACATGCTGCAGAAATCCTGTTTGCATAGGGAGGCTGTAAGAAGATGGACTGTGAAGGACAGATAGAGGAAACTGTGCAGAAAGGGGAAGACAATGCAAGTGTGACCACACAGCAGGAATCATGAGGGATACATTCCTAAGAGGTACAAGAATTCAGATGTGTGATACCTGTCAGAATGTAGTGAAGTACTAGGACAGGTAAAATACAGCAACTTGTTAATTATATAACTTTGGTTAAAACTTAATATGTAGGTATGCCAACGTGTAGTTTTAAAAATCAGGGTTTTTTTTTTCTTAATTGTTGTGAGTAGTTTAAAGCATTCATTCCTTTTTTTTTTTCTTCATTAAGACTAGTCTGGCATAATAGTTCCCAGTTCTGTCAAGTATATTTGAATGTTGTTAGTACTAATAGGATTACAAGTACCAGGATGGCACAGTTAAGACTGTTAATGCAGGGTGAGAAGCAGTTTATAAATACCCATCAGGAAGCTTTTCTGCCAAGTAAGCTGATTTCTGACAAAATAAGGCAGCAGGGTGGCAATGCCTGTCTGAGATGGCAGGATGACAGTGAGATGTTGGTGTAACAGCAAGGAGTTAATTCTGAAAGCTTTTCCTTGCTTTAAGACTGTCTCAGAGCCAGTGACTTGTGTGGGCTTATGGCTGGCATGGGCTTAGGCATAAATCTCTGCTCTGTGAGAGATGCTGGTGAGAGCTGGTTTTATGATGTGTTTTTGAAAAGTCTTTGCTGTCAAAGCCACGAAACAGATCTGAAGTTTTCAGAAGCTTGAAGTAAAAGAGGTCTAGGGCTCTTCAAGGCTTTAGACAGATCTTACTCATCTGCATATTTTTGCTGAGTTTTTAGTGGAAAAAAAACCCCTTCTAATGGAAACCCCCACTTATAACTCAGCCTCTGGTTTGAATTAGGTCATGCC